AGTTTTACTATATAAATATTTCGTATTATTTATCCTGTCTCCTTGGTACTAATAATGTTATGACTTGGACCCTATTATAATGTGTTCATGATATAAATTTCATATACACAAGGTACCTATTTCTTTTGATATTTTTCTGACCCTGCGAATAAATAAAATCTTTGACTTATTCCTTTTAGCCTGATTATAATGCTAGAAAGTTGTATCTGGTTATAAGAATCAAATAGATACTATGATAAATTTATTTTACTTGTAGCCTTTTTATTTTTAAGTGTTCAAATATACATTTGTTTAATAATAATCATCCCCAAATGTGTTTTGTTCCAGTTCTTTAAATGTATTTACTAGGTTTTTATAGAAGTACTGATTTTAAATTAATAAAAATTTGAGCTGTAAGAAATATTTAAGATTTTTCAATTCTGTATTTTTCGTATTTTTATAGGAGTTAATAATCCCTTTAAGTAAATAAATGTAGTTCGGGGTCGTAGATGTTGGTAATTTGTGTATTGAATAATTTGTACATACACTGGTTAATAATTTAAACAATGTTTTTTCTGATGTACCTAATAATTATTTAAGGTTATCTTGTAGTTGAGGAGTCTAGAAATCCACATATTCACACCACTCTGAAGTCTAGAATTTGACACAAATTTGAAGTTAAAAATAACGATCGTATTACTTAAAAATCTACAGATTTTTTTAATTTTTAATCGATGCAAAATTGGTAAATACATGGTAAAAAGTAAAAGTTATTTCAAATAATTAAATATAACTTTGCAACTATATGTTACGATTCCAACTATTAGAACTAGCCAGAACAAGAATGGTGCATTTCCAGACCCTTCAATTATAAGATTACCATTATTTAATGTGCAGCGCAAATATAAAAAAAAACTACCTAAAAAATGCTGTTCCTGCTTTTATTACTTATGATGGGACTACTTCTCAAAGGAGACAAGAATGTGGAAAGTATTGCTGATACAGTTACCGAAGTTATCCACTGGGGGTGAAGTGTTAATCTTTTAGGAATATAGGAAATATTTCTTTATATCTAACAACTTAATATTTATTTATTGATAAGTTATAGATACTATGTATTTGAAATTCGAAGTAATCATTATGACAGCAGTGTTCTTCTTATTGTATTCGAATTCTAACACAATTAAAACATCTCATTAAATTTTTGTTAAAATTATTAATTTATTAATTTTACATTAGAAAGAAAATTAACAATACACACAAAATTATTTAAAATTAGAAATAAATACAATTTACACATTTCCCATTATTACACTTTTACTTACTTAATTTATTCATTTCTTATATTAACAATTTAAATTAATAATATAGTTCATTATTTCATTGGAACTCATTTTATAATTTTACTAATTATTTTTTTATATTTATTTGTGGAAAATTAAATATTAAATAAAAGCATAGGAATTGTTCTATTAGATAATAGCAGTAATGAAAAAATAAGTAGGAAAATTTCAAATGTATAGTTTCCAGATTTATTATGAGTTTTTCATATTAATGTACTCAATAAGTAGGTTTATTATGTTCGCTTGTACACATCACAGTTAGCAGCAGACAGTAACAAACCTGACAACACTTCCGATTTCAGAAAAAAACATTACAACAATTTGTTTTACATTATATATTTCAATAATGTAATATAATAATCATTTATATTTAATTAATGACAAGGTTTACTTTTTAAATAAAACTATATGAGCCCTGTCCCGTTTCAATTAGCACACTTCTCAAATTTATAGTGACTGTCACTACAAGAACAAATCATACATAAATCTGATAAATTACTTTTATTTTTTAACCCTTTCACTTCCACTTTCATTAAAAAAAATACCATTGTAGTAGATTGTATGTTTTCTTTGTTTATTTTAAGTAAATTAAAATTTTTTCATAGTATTTTTTATTACTCCAAGACATAACGTCCCTGTTCAGGGACATTACAAAAACAAAAATTTACTATGAAAATAATTTTTTTATAATATTAATCCTTAAAAGTAATGCAAATAAAAGTAAATAAACCAAAAAGAAAAAAATTCTACCAAAATTAACAGATGTATACTTCAGGGTTAATTAAGACAGTGTCCCTCTGGAGGAACAAATACACTGAAAGGGTTAAATATTTACAAATTTTCATGAGTGTTTCATCACCTTTAACTTTGATAACGGCAATAATTCATTAAAACATTGTATTTACAAGTTCTTGAAAATCTTATGTGCAGGGAACCTACTCCATATTTCTAGATTACCCATTTGCTTTAATTCTGGCAGTGATCTTGTGGGTGCTGCACGCCTCTGCTTAAAAATTATCACCCCATATACAAAAAAGCATCTTTATTAAATGAACAAGAAACTAAAAAAAAAAAAAATAAGCATTATTAAAAACTACAAAAAGTGCATAATTTGAAAATCCATATTCAAGCTTGAGATTTGTAAAATTAAAAAAATTCCAAATACACATTTAACTTGTTCAATTATGTATTGCATAAAAGGTCTGTTCCAACAATGATCAGAAACAAACCACTGGGTAGTACACAATTTTGCAGTATCGATAAACTACTGTGCAGAATCCTGATGTCAGCAACTCATTTCTGAGCATTGTTGGAACAAACCTAAAGTAAATCGAAACCACTTAAAAACAAGCACAACATTTATACTCGAGCATAATTTTTAATTCCTATCAAAATTTTTAATTACTGAATATTTTGTTCTAGTTATATTAAAATTTAAAAGTTCTTACTCTTCATTATAATTTTATATTTTTTATTTTCCCTATATACCTACATACTATCTCTAACATTTTACAAATTTGATGCCTAATTAAAGATGTCATCTAGCATTGCAGCATTTTTTAGAATATTTGAGAGAGCATAGTAGTAACTGCCAGTTAAAACTTTATTTCTAGTATTTAGTTTAGGTAACAAGACACAACGCTTGGAACAGAAAATACATACTTTTGTTAATTCAGAATTTTTAAATGTTGTTTTATATTATAAATCTTTCCAGGTATCGGATATCCTATATCATTTTTTTTTATAATTTTCAACCAAAACTGTTTAAAAACAAAAAGTTTAATAAAACACCCATTATATTTAATAAGGTTTATGCTCTAAAACTCACTGTTCTTTTAATGGCAGATTTTTTAACCTCTGAGTAAAGTTAGGTGTAAGTATAATCTATAGCCTAATCAGCAAGTAGTTACTTTCAACTTTATTCAGAGGTAAAAACCTGGCCTTTAATCTTAATATAATTGTGGAGGATGGAGACTACATTTGCTAGGGATTAGGGAATAACGAAGATCTGACTACTATAATGACACTTGCTAAAAACTGTATAAGTTCTATGTACATGCAGATAGAACCATGTGAATAACTTTAGTGCTTCGATAACACAACATTGAAAATTAACAGATGAACATATTGGTCACAAAAACAAATTAAATAATATATTCTACCAATCTCATTTTTTCCAAAAAGTACAGTTACAACCTTGTTATTCTTTGAGATGTATTTATTACTGATACTTATTAATAAAAATAATAATAATTGATATAGGTACTTACTGATCTTTGGAAACATATATACTCCAGTCCAGTGAGACTTCATTATTCTGGTATAATGCTATTTCACAGAAACGTTTGTAATTCCAATCACTATGTATGGATTTGATTATAGTAGGTATAAAACTAAATGTTTATTGAATATCTTTAATCTGGGCAATGAAAATCACAAAATTCACTTTAAAAATAATAAGCTTCAATCTGAGTACCATAGTTAAGGTCCACTTCTTCATTTTATAATCAGTAACCCACTGTATTGCTGTTTTTGCCAAAGCCAAAGGTAATATTTGAACACAAAACAAAATCAGCTGTTTTTTATAAACACCCCCATTTCACTTATTTAGTAGCAAGTCTCTGGCAGCAACTTGTAACTTAATTGGAGCATATTTATTAAATCTTGAACACTTTTTTTGATCGTATAAACTCACACATCAGTGCAGCTTGTGTAAAAAAAAACACTTATAAGCAACCATCAATAACAATAAACTTATTTGTTGACCATTAATTTTTTCATCTGTACTCCTTCTGATAGTTTTGTCATTTTTCATTTCATATAAAGTCGAATTTTCACCATAGAAGAACTATTTTTGTGATTGCACTTTTTTGACAGATAAAAAGATTGCCGCAATTTTCCGCCGTAACGACACTAGCGAACCTAGCGGATTTTGGCTAGGAAGTACGATCGGTTTTGGTATGTTTTTTTCAGGGAGTTGAAACACCTTTATAGTACGCCGTGGTGCCAACTCTTTAACAAGTGAGATGCACTACTATAGGGGATATATTGTGACGATATCCTACTTATTCGGACCTTCTACAAATTTCCTCCAGAGGGCGTATCACTTAGCTTTAATCGCGAATAGGTCAGGTAAATTTAAAGAAATTTTAGGCATTTCTTTATAAGCTTACTACAACATACTTGGTTACAGTATTGTGGTTACTGTAGTGACATTACGCATACCATGGTTTCCCTATTATTGAATGTCATATGTCATATTTAATTTAAGTTTGGGGATTTCTAAACAGAATTTGAATTTTAGAAATTTTAGGATGTTTTGACTTTGTTATTTTTTATTATAGTATGTTCTAGTAAGCTTATAAATAAATGCCTCGTTAGATATAGCTACATATGCTTTGGTAACATGTAACCAAAGCAGAGTAACCAAACATTATAAAGAAATGCTCTGGTTACAGAAGTATGTTCTGGTAAGCTTATAAAGAAATGCCTAAAATCGGTATGCGATAAGAGTAAAAAGTTGCCATAAACAAATCGTTAGAAAATGCCTAAAAAATTAAACTTCAATAAGTGACAGCTGTCCAAATTTTGACAGTTCATCATTTGTTGAGAAGTTTATGATTTTAAAGGAAAGAAATAAACAATTTCTCCGGCATTTAGGATTATTAAATAATCTAAATGATGGCAGGATTTAACGGTAAGCACAGCTTTTAAGTGCCTTGTCTATTACTAATTTTTCTGTCTTACATTTTTGTTATAAGATCCCCAGTGGGATAAAAACTTCAAGATACCCAAAAGAAAAAGCGACGAGGTAAACAATTACAATTTAAATAGTTCGAATTTTGATTATAACGCTGGTAATTCGATGGCCAACAATTCTTACTATGAATATTATAACCAGTATACACAATCTCAATGGCAACAGACTACTGCATATCCACAGTACTACTATGCTAATCAAGAAATATTTGCCAATACTAGTAATTCTGTTGATTCTGTTACACAGAATATCTGCAATACTTTGTCAAATATTAAAGAACGACCGAAAAATTACCAAAAAAATATATGTAAGTAGTTATAAAATTACTTATTTCAATATGTATGATAAACCAATTTTGTCCTTTCATATGTAGGTAGGTACCTTTAATCATCAGTGGTTTAGGCTTTGAATGTTTTGTATTTATGTTATCAAATAGGTTTGCATGCAACAAAATAAGTGCAATCTTTAATTTTAGTTAAAGATACAGTCCCAGATGTAGATGATCAGTCACTTCCAAAAGAATTGACATTGCAGTTTCAACCACTTTTCTGCAAACTTTGCTCAGCTCAACTCAGCAGCAATGTCATGGCTAAACTCCACTACAAATCAAGGAATCATGAAAAAAAAGTGAAAAAATTTCTTCAAGAATATTCTGAAAAAACTGGAACACCACTTCATCCTAGAGCAAAAGCAGTTGCTGCACCAAAAACTGAAAGTGAAAGTGATCCAAAATGGTTCCACTGTGATATCTGTGATTTACCATTGACTGGTAAAATGCATGCAGAGTCACATTATATGGGCAAGAACCATCAAAAGTAAGCATGAAAATGTAGAATTTGTTATCATTTAGGTAAAGAATTTCTAATCACAGATTGCTGAAAATATAAATAATTCAGTTTTTTGTCTTAAATTTAGGCTACTGTTAAATTCATTTACTATCAGGCCTTAATAATAATGGGCCTTTATTTGTATAAAATTAAAGTGTACATTTCATTTCGACAAGATTTAGCTGAGGCTACTCTTACATCTAACTGCAATACAGGATTTATTTTAATAAAAATAGATAATAGAATATATTGAATTTACAAAAACGATACTTAATATAATAGTTTACAAAATAAAACCAAAAAAGAAAGCAGAAATAAAATTACAAAACAAAGAAGAAAAAATATATATATAACATTATTTTATGATTGAGAAATCAGCACCTGTCTTTTTATTTTTTTTTTAAATGAAAAAAGAGAAATAGATTCCTTAATAGTAAAACTAAGGTTGTTGTACAGAGCAACTGCATTATATAGAAAAGCTGGGTGTGAAAGTAGCTGTTGAGTGTCGAGGCATAGCTAACATTAGGTTATTTCTTATATTTACGTTATGCATTGATGTTCGATAAATTAATTTGTTCCTAAGATATGGTGGCTGTGAAGTGTTGATTATCTTAAATAGCAGTGAAAGAAATAGATACTTAAATAAGTTTCCAACATTCAACCATTTACATTGTGAAAATGCCAGAAAATATGGTTGAATTTTCTTAGATCATTTACGAACCTACAACATGTATTTTGCATATTTGGAGCCGATTTCGATTTATTAAAGTTAAGCAAGGAGAGTATACAGTGATACCGAATAGTATTTTGGATAAAACTAAGCTTTGACATAAATTAGATTTAATGAATTGGTCAAGAAGAATGTGTTTGTTGGAATAAAGCAATGGAAGCGCACCATAGCATTGTTGTAAGATATAGTTTATATTTTTATCAAATCTCATAGATTCCTCAAAGTCCCAAGTTTTTTGCTTCACATTCATGTGGAATTATTTCACCTGATATTCTTAAAATTGCTTTAGATTTATCAAAATCCTTATATTATTGCAAAATATTAACAATTTAGACTTGCTGGCATTAATATGTAAGTTATGATTTAATGAATAAGAATTAATTTGACTTAGGTCTTGATTTATTAAGTTTAACTGCATTTTCACAATCATTTACATAAAAGTCTGAAAATAATTGTGTGTCATCAGCAAAAAATTGAACAGCACAGTTATTGATGTGAGTATATAAGTCTGATGTATACAGTAAAAACAAAAGTGGTCCCAGGACCGAACCCTGAGGAACGCCGGATTTTATTTGTATTGAAGTTGACATTTGACTATTAACAATGACTTGTTGGTAACAATTATGTAAGTACGATTTTATGAAGCCTAGTGATGTTGCATCAAAACCATAGTAAGAACATTTAGCAGAGAGAAGTTTGTGATTTATTGTATCGAATGCTTTACTGAAGTCTAAGAGAACTAATAAATCTGCCTTTTTCTTATCAATGCTGTTCAAAATGTCATCAGATAGATATGCCAAAACTGTTGTAGTGCTTAACCTCTTCTGAAAGCCAGATTGGTGAAGTGGAATTATACTATTCTTTGTAAGGTATTCATAGACTTTAATATAGGCAGCATGTTCAAATATTTTTGATATTAATGGAAGAAGACTTATAGGCCGTAGTTCATTATATGAGGCTGGATTACATTTCTTTGGCAGTGGAATAACTATTACTTGTTTCCAAGATCGTGGGAAATAACCTTGTTCTAGGCATAAATTTATGATGTTACAGTTCTATCATCTGCATATTAATACCATCACTTCCTCTGACATTCGACTTAATATTCAGAATAATACTAATATATAAAGAGTGGAAATAGTTATAGGTCTAAAATGAAAACTGATATTTTTGTTATAAGTATTATTTCTATAGAACCAAATCAAGTTAAAGTATTTATGATCACTGTCTTGAAAGACTGATGAAAAGTAACTATTGATTTGAAATGGATTTAATAGAGATGAAGGGATATCATAATTTTCGGTAGATTGTATTTTCATCTCTTTTAGTGCCTTATAAAATTTTGATGAAGATTGACTGTTTAAATATTCTAAATAAGCAGCTTTTTCTCGCCTCAATGAAGCTAATGCAAAATTACGAAGTCCCTTGTAGTGATTCCAATTTTCAAGAGTTTTGTTTTTATATTTTTTCAGTGCACTATCACATTCTTTAAAAATTAACTTAATGGTAGGAGTTAACCAAGGTGCTTTCGGCTTACTGACTCTAGCAATACGAAATGGACAATATTTATTAAAAAAGATCAGTTAATTCGTCAGTTAAATAATTTACCTTACTGTCAATATCTCTAAAAAGGATTATATTTTCCCAGAAATATTTTTTAAGTCATGTGCGAAGGACAGAGGGTCAAAGTTTTTGTAATCTCTTCACGTTTTATTTAATTACAGCAAACAATGAGTGGCCCTGTGGGTCAAGGTAACAACAAACAAAAATTGCCCAATAATAAAATAAATTGCAGTAGGTATGTTTTGTTTTTCAGTCTTACATTATATAAAATACATTAAAGATTGGTTTGATGAAAAGGTGGTAAAGTTATAGATCTACACATCAGTTTATAATGTATAATATCAATCTATTTTCTCATAAATGTTCTATACTTATTCAAATGAGTTTATTTTAAATTAATACTATTTTCAGAAACTTTATCAAAGCACAGAAATGAAAATAATTATACTAAGAAAATTATAATTTTATTTTGGTTAAATTTATTTATATTTTTAATTTTAAGCATATGCTACAATTAATAACAAAATATTTCCACTTTGCATTAGTCAATCAGTGAAATATTTTTGGCACTTTCTAGGCTAAAATTGCTATTTTATACTCTCATTTCACGGATTGGAAGTATATTTATTCTCAAGGGATAAACAATCATCTACAGTAAATTATAAAGAGCAGACTACAGGTTCAAACACATACTGTGCGAATGCGAAGCTCTAGATCGCAAAAGACAGGTTTTTTTTGGACAACCCCAGGTTGATCCAACAACGTATAGAACCCACTCACCCAAGGATCTGTACAAACTTGTACAAGGTACAAAGGTGATAGAGTGGGTGCTATGAACTAACATGGGGTAAAACACAATAAGCCAATAGGCTTCAGTGTTATTCGGAGACACATAGTCAGACGAGCCCAGAAGAGAAAAAAAAAACAGGTTCAATGTCAAACGAGGGGTTAACTGCTGTTCGAAATTGTGTCGACCCATTCCAAAAAATTCTAATAATTCCAATGAAAATTCTAACAATTCCAATTAAAAATCCAGCAATTCCAATAATAATTCCAACAATTACAATAATTTTAGTTATAGTTATACTTTTCATATTTTGCTTTAGAGGGGCTTTATTTTAAATAGGAATAGTTATTACGTTAAACAGCTTTTAATAATAAATGACAAGTCAAAAATTATGCCATTCTGTCGACGAAAAACAATAGTTGTAAGTGGATATCTAGCTAAAGCAAAATTTTGAGAAAAAGGCAAAAAATCGATTTGATTTGGAACTTTTTAAACATCTCATATTATGCCTCTTTTATTGATTAATGATATAAACTATTTTTTTGCTTTAACAACTTTTAGTTTGTAATAAGTGTAGAGTATGTAATAAAATTGTTACTTGAGAACTTTATCTACTAGAACTGACTAGAAGGTAGGGTGTGAATTGAAGCCTTTGTCACCTTTTAGTTTCTTTAAATATTTAGAATAAAAAACAGTACTTATTTTTTAAAACTTGTACTTTTTGTACAAAAGCAGTTGGGATTCACCTAGCGTCAAAAATTTGACATTTGGCCCATTTGATTTGTCATAAGTAGGGCTTCTACATTAATAGAGATGTAGTAAATAACAAAGTTCAACTATTTTTTGTCATTTTCACAGTCTCTATAGTTAAACAATCACACATAGTCTAAGATCTGAAGTAAGTTCGACCTTCACCCATCTGTTTAAGGGATGAAAGTTTTTTTATTAAATAAAATATGTTTATAAATATATCACAAAATATGTTCGTCTATTTATTTTCTTAAAGTTAAAAAACGACATCCAGTAAAGTATTCCCCAGATGCTTTGACTATGCCCAAAATTTAATCAGCTCATCTCAGGATATATTAAAGAAGTTTAAAATTTGGTGTTTTTCTCTTTATCTGTTTTTGAGTTATCTTCAAAAATTCGAAATTTGCACTTTTCCTCAAATATCTCGAATACCATCCATTTTAGGGAAATCATGAATAGGGCCAAAATTATAGAGAATGACATTACAAGTAACTTTTTTCATGATTACTATACTTTCCTTATCTGTATACAGAAAGGAAAGTAAAAAATGGCAGTGACTGTATTAGGCAACCCATTTGCGGTATAAAATAGTTTTATTGACATATTTTATATTTATGCTAAATTCAGTAGATTGTTTGCATATGTCAATACAAAAATTACCAAAATAAAATGTAAGAACGATCCTTAAACAAAATATAAAAGTATATTTTACAAATCTCAAATACATTCAAAATCAATTTACACATTAAGACATTTAAAATGAAATCATCGACACAGTAGAATGCCTTACCGACAAGAAATCATTTTATTAAAATAACCCACTCCAATCTCCGCCCCCTTGCAATTTTTTGAATAATGCTGAAAAATGTATTCGTTTACTTTAAAAGGATAACCTTAATACTGACTTTTTGATTTTTAACATTTAAATAATAAACCACCCCTTTAATCACCTCCCCTAATAAGTATTCTAAGAAATCGTGAGATATGTGTTCACTTACTTTGATAGAATAGTTAACGTGCCAATTTTCAGATCTCTAGTATTTGTGGTCTTTAATATACCCTTAGTAATTCCTCTAAAATGTTCAAGCCCCGATTTGACCCCCCTTGTGAATTGAATTTTAAGAAATATGGCATCCAGATTACAAATCGCTATGCTTTACCGTTTCGTTGATGGTGGGTGAGGTTTTCCGGGTTTTCCTCACCTGTAAGTCAAATGGAAATATCTATTATCTTCAAGTCGCCCCGGTGCGCCACGACAAATAATAATAATAATAATAATAATAGCCATCCCTTCCCCACACAAGCTCAGTCAGCTTCAGGGATTGAAATTCACTCATAAGGGGGTGACTTAGGAAGAGTAGTATTATTTAAATTATAAGAAAATAATGTACTTAATTGTTTTTTAACTCTGATCTATGAGCCACCTCAGTCCCTTGCTATACAAGGTATCATGTCAATATTGAAGGATTGTGCCTAAAATTTCATATAAACATGCACTCTAAATTGATTTTTTTTAACATCTAGGTACGCCACTGGAATTTTAATCTAATGAGATTTAAGTTATCCCCTTAGTTCTTCAAACAAACATGACAAGTTTAATCAGAATGCGCTGGTTCGGTGTGATGTCATTTTGGTTCCACTGACATTTAATTCTAACCAAACTTTTAACAAAAACATCAATAATTTTGACATATACGTTTTTCCTATTTTTCGTTTATTTCTAAATGAGTCCCCTAAATGCAAAACTCGGTATTTGCTAGTTACAAAATTTTTCAGGAAGGGCAAAAAGCTGTCAGTAATTAAAATACATATGTATTCTCGTTTTAAATTTTGTTTTTACTTGGCTCTAGTGATTTTGTTTTGAAATAACTATGCTCTTCATTCCAAAATCCTACCAAAAATTAAAAAAAATACTTTTAAAATTAAAATACCGAGTTTTGCATTTATGTTTTAAAAATACCCAGTTTTGCAACTCACAATTGCAAATACCGATAAGTGCATGGTTGTCTTATTTTAGAAAATTTATTTTCTTACAATTTTTTTTTTTTTAAAAGATACAAAAATATAAATTAAAACACTTTTATTAGGTGTAATAAAATACATACAAGCAAAAAAATCTTCCCTAAATAAGCAAACTACAAATGAATTAATTAAAATGTCTACGTGCCCGTGCACTTACCTAATCACGTGACTATTAGGCGCAACGCCATTGGAAAATTACAATTACGTAGTTTTGCATTTGACAAGTGAAGGCAAATACAGAGTTTTGCATCTAGTCTTCGTTTTCTAAAGCGTTTTTAATGCAGAAATAAGAAGTTTTGCATCTTATTTCAGAAGGAGAATGCTAGAGTTTGACATAAGGAATTGAATGGCGCCAAAACATTACTTTTGAAAATTTCGTCGAATACCGAGTTTTGCATTTAGGGGACTCAAATATTGTTTACAGGTCATAAAAAAAAGTTTAAAGGTATGTAATTGGTAACTAAACGATTCTATATTTGATGCATGTTATCTACTTACTTTAGGAATATATTTATAAAAGTAAAAAAACGATATAATTTAGGTAAAAAAAAACGAACAAAACGCACTCAAAAAATCTACTGTCACTTTAATTGTCAGTGGAACCATAATTACATCATCACTGAACTAGCGCATAGTCGAGAGTTTATCATATTAATTAAAAACCGAAAAATTTAACACCTTTATTAAAAAAAATAATTTAGTTCATATGTTTATATAAAATTTTAGTTATAAACTCGGCCAAGAAATTATCTCCTCAATATTGACATGACATATAGGAACACCCTATCCAATGTATACTATTTTGATGTGTCGCCAATGAAAAATCTTCATCAGTAAAAAGTTTTATATTTTTTAGGGTTGTTATGGGTCACAAACAGCCAACAGGTAAAGGATTTTATAATGGAGAAGGAAAATGGGTAAGACAAACGTAAGTATTGTTAATAGAGTTTCACAACTGATAATAAATTTGTATCAATTATTTTATCTCAACTAATTTCACTTCCTGAATGTAGTAACACTGATAATGATTACAGTTTAATATGAGAACTCAACTTTATGACATAAAAACGAAACAAATATAAAAAAATATCTTTGTATTTTATAAATTATAATCGTTTTGGAAGCTTTAGTTATATTGTGAAATTGTAAATTATACATAATAATGTCAAAATTGCTGATATTTTATTTTTTTTTATAGTGTTGCCTCATTCTCCATTGAACTTTTATTTATAAAAGATTAGCAACTCTCTTTAGAAATAAATATTCTTTACTAGATTGGTCAAACGTGTTTTGGAAGATGGCGAAGATACTTTTGGACTTGACTTTAAAAAACCAAAAATCGAAGAAGTAGCAGCACCTCCAACTGTAATAGATGCTCCTCAACCCAGCCAAAATAAGTTCCATTGTAGTATTTGCAATGTGGGTACTACCTGTCAAGAACAGCTGGATGTTCACTTCCAAGGCCAAAAACATAGAAAGAAGTTGAAACTATTGGGTATTTTTGATGCCCAATCTGAAGTGGCACCTTTACCAAAAGGTAATGAATAATGAATACAATTATTTTCTTGTGATTTTTTTAAATTTTATCTCTGTTTTCGAAAAAACAGTATCCATTGTTGCATGTAAATGTTATAAAATCAATGTTGCTATATTTTAATAACATATTTATTTGTAATAATAATATGTCTTTATTAAAAATAATAGATGCATACATTTTTTGCACCAGGGAGGCAAAGGTTAGCTATACAGCTACTCTTTAACCCTTAACCTTCCTGGTTGACATAGTATTTACAATTTACATTACCATAATATGTAATCTCTAATAGTTATTAACAATAACAATAAGACACTAAAAAACAAAATAATGTATAAATAATTGCAAATACCAATTGAAATATAATTAGAAATCCAAACAAAATACTTTTTTTTAATCTCACGTCTAAAAAAATATGTCAAATTTAGAAAATATAACTGATGTTAAACTTTAATTGCGTTATAAGTGAAATATCTACAGTACAATGATGAGGCATTGCAAGCATTTTTGTCTAATATTAACATTATAAACTGATGTTCTGAAAATTAGTTTCTCACATAAATAGGCAGGGTACCCTTGTCTTTAGTAACCCACGTAAACATTATTTAAAGATTTGATTGATTAGATCAACCAAAAATAAATCTGCAACAAGCCTTTTGTATGAGCTGTAATTCGCTCTGTGATACTTTGTTCAGACAAGGATACTATACAATATTGTAATAATTTATTATTGATAAAACTAAATGTTCAAAAAGTTTTTTCTCATTTTAAAGTGTAGTATATGCCTAATTAACATCTCTTTATTTAAAGTTATACTAACATCATCCAACTCGAGTCTAATTGATCTCTCAATGTCTTCTGTTTGAACTTTAAATTATCAAACATAATACAGATTCGACTTAAATTTTTCTTTGGTATAGCGCAAAACTATAAAGAGCAACAGAAAGAAAACTATTCACATGAAGCGAGAATAAGAGAGAGAAGGCAAAGAAGCATTGCAGTGGAAGATTTAACAAGAGCTCGCCAGGCTCATATTCATCTCTTAACTGGGTAGCTTTGGGGCGGTCTGTGCACCATTTGGGCCGCCCCTTACTCATCCCGCGGCTCTCTAAAAAGTAACGCCGAGACTAGTGTTTTTACTGCATTTTTGCCAGATTGGTGAGCTTTGATTATAGTTTGTCGCATGTGTGATTCGATTTCGATTCTGTAGATTATTAGTTTGTGTTAATTCGCCATCGAGAGTTTATGAGTTAATGAACGAAATGAGATTTTATAAATACACGTATAAGTTTGCTACTAAAAAGGACCGCAGAATAGAATTAATGTATAATCAATGTGATGGTGTAGTTATATATATTAAAAACAACATTCAGTTTGAAATAGAACATACAAAGTTGCCTCTATCAAATATAACAATAAGCTCAATAACATTTAGTCATAATGGTGTGCCCTATACAGTAATACCTTGTTATAAATCTCCATCCATATCAGATGATACATTTCTTACAGATTTTGAAAATTTCTTAAATAATATACCAAGAAGGCTAGGAATGGATATATTTATTGGTGACATTAATATTAATATCCTTGATCCCTCAAACCAAATAAAAAATAGATATTTGGCAATGTTATCTTACTTGGGATTTGTATTATATATTAATTCATACACCAGGGTTACTGTAGAAACGAAATCATGTATGGATCATATTTTTATAAAAAATAATATGCCAAATAAAAATTTCTCATATAAATCGTTGGTAATTGACACTAACTGATCATTTTCCAATTTTTTTAAATATTACAACAAACGAAAGAAACTTTAACCATAATACATTAAACCAACATACAACACAATACACCGATATAGATATTTACAAAATTATTAGAAAATGTAAACTGGGACAACGTCATTTCTCTTAGCAATCCAATTTTGGCCTACCCGAAAAATTATTGAAATAATATATTCCCTAAAAGAACAATGTAATATAACTAATAATCATAATATTTATAAAAAAATAAAACCATGGATAAGTCAAGGCGTCATCATGTCTATTAAACATAGGGATAAAATGAAAAAGCAAATATTAAAAACCAAAAACAACAATCTTCTAAGAGAATATAGGATATATCGTAACCAACTAAATAAAATAATAAATAAAGCTTCTGCAATAACTATTTTTCAAAAATTGGTATAGGTATGGCAACTAAAATCAATTCTGTAGATGACTTCCTAATAAGATATCCACCTCTAATCAACTCAATGGCATTAAATCCTGTCAATAAAAATGAATTAATAGAACATATAAATTCGTTAAAAAATAACAGTGCTCTTGGGATTGACGGAATTACATCTAGAATGTTGAAAAATGGTCACCGATACATAATAGAGCCTCTAATGCACATTATAAACCTAATCTTTACAACAGGTAAGATACCGGAAGAACTTAAAATATCAATTGTAAATCCAGTTTTTAAAAACAGATCCAAAAAAGATGTGTCAAATTACGGACCAATAAGTCTATTTACAAATTTTGCAAAAAATTTTGAAAAATGTTTAAAAAAAAGATTATACGAATATCTAATTGATAAAAAGATTTTAAATGTTAAACAGTTCGAATTCCAAAAAGGTATTAGCACTTGTGATGCCATGTATGAATAGATATCCAATATAAAAAACAGTCTTGAGAATGAAAATAAAAGTCTTTTTATCGACCTCGCGAAAGCTATTGACACTGTTCCTCACAAGCAACTACTAAATGTTCTTGAACATTATGGCATTCAAGGATTGGTTTTAAAAATGTTTGAAAACTACCTACACATAGGTGTGCCACAAGGAACTGTCCTTGGTCCAATTCTTTTTATCATCTATATCAACTCTCTTTTAAACTTAGATATAAATTATATAGCAATATCCTATGCAGATGACACCGTATTAATGTTTGAAGGTATAACCTGGGAGGCTGTAAAATCAAAAGTGGTTAAAGGGGTAAGAATTATGAAAGACTGGTTGGATTATAATAAATATATCGAAAACAGTACATATGGCATTCTCACTTACAAATGCTAACAGGCCTAACTTCAAACAGATTTGTATTGAAGAATCCAAATTCATCATCAAAGAAGTGGAAAATGCCAAATATTGGAATAATAGTTGACAAAAATCTGAAATGGACTGATCATGTTCAGTACTTAACAAACAAAATAAGAAAACTTATATATAAATTTTATTTAATTCGTAACATTCTAAATAAAAAGTTATTACACTTGATATAATAATATATTGCTCTCATTGAATCCTTAATTAGATATGACATAATTGTATGGGGTGGCTTATATGACAATGCCCTACATACTTTTTAAGTATCATTCAAAATTATATCTTAAAGATAATAAATCATAAAAGTCGTTTGCTTTCAACAACCCTCTTATACAACGAATCCACTCCAAACGTAAGATCACACTATACTTTCATTCTAGCTGTATGTTCTATTTCAAACTGAAAAATAAAAATTTTGTAAACCACTCTTATATGAGCCGAAAACAAAAGAGAATGCTAAATGTACCATTCTTTAAATATGATGGAAATAAAAGATTCATTTCTTCAATTGGGCCAAAAGCATACAACTCTTTAGTGAAAATATCAGACAAATAAAAAACATAAAAACCTTTTCAGAAAATTTATATTTGATAAATATTTATACCTCTCAAATTTGTTATAAATACCTAGTCTTATATATTTATGTCCTTTTAATCATCAAATGTTTATAGATATTGTTAATTTTATGTAGTTTTAATATATGTGCAATATCTTAAGAATAAATTCTCATTGTAAATTTATTTGATTTTGTATTATAAAATGTTTCTTCTTCTTCTTCTTCTTCTTCTTAAATAAATGAAATAAATAAATAAATGATTAGTAGGTGAATAAAAGCTGTAAAGTAATAATTGCTTTTCATGTGGCAGGAGGCAAAATATTTGCAGAACACCCAATGTCTTTAACCACAAGCCGCTACTGAACATGAATATACATCATTGATGATGATCTTTTTTTTTTTTCAACAATCAAAAAATTCGATTGACAATTTTCAAGTAATCATGTATTATGTGTTTGTCTTGTTTTGTTTTACAAAATGTTTTTCATTCTGGCAACACTGGCCTAGACCAGAACGAGTCCATAGCGTGTGTGGATAAGACACTAGATTCTAGTTTACGTTTTAAAATAACTAGCAAGTTCTCGCTCTTTATAAAGCTATTGCGGTTCCTCCTGTTAATTCGTAATGCTCAAGAAAAATTTAAGTCTAATCTGTATATTCCTAGTACAATGTGTGTTAGTCACTTGTTCTCTGGACTATCAGTGACTGGCTGAACTAGATTGTCGGTAAAGAAGGTATTGCCGCTTATAATTATTTTAGATTTTAGCCTATTCTACGTTATTAGACTATTTGCTTGACTCTTTGCAAAAATCAAAATTTTGATTTTTATATTGTTAAAACTTTAGTTTTTGTTGTTTTTAAAATTGCATTATTGATATTATCATCAGCATCATTCAAAAATATCTATTAAATCTTAGCTTTTTAGCTCTTACCGTTTTCAAATTCATTTGGAACAAAAATTAAATGCTATTAAACTTTCGCATTAACTAAATATTTTTGTTTTAAAGGTATATTCTGTTTTTTAGGTCCGGTAGAACCAGATCTAAATTTATCAGTATACCGTACACCATCTGGTGATTACTATTGTCCGTCATGCAATTTAACCCTTGCATCAGGTGTTCAATTCAAGTTGCATTTAAAGGGTAAGCAGCATTTGAAGAAAAATGCCCAAAAATCGTAATTAGCTTTAACAAGTTTGCCAAATCAAAAAATATCCAGAATAAAACCAAAATGTAATTTTAAAAAATAATCAGCTAGAAAGTGATAGAGGCATTGAAATTACACACACTGAACAAAATTTCGTGTAATTCCCAGTTAATATTTAATTGAATATATTAACAGGACAGTTTTTATTGGAATATGATTCTAAACAAATCTGGATGAGCTTAATTCCTATGGTAAACTTTAAACATATTTTTCAAATTAAATAAGTATATTATTAAATTTTATAATCTAGAAAAACATGTATTTTTACAATGAGTTTCCTTTCACATCTGATTTAGTGATTTTAATTATTAAGTAATTACACTAGTGCATACCTAAAAATTTAATGTCACTTTATTATGATTTTGTCACTGCCAACATCAGCTATGGCATAAATCGAGGTAAAACTCATTGTTGTTTTTAATATAGGTCTATATTGTTGATTGATAAATCTAAGTAAGTTTTGTTTTTGCTTGCATGGTTTAAAGAATATGATGATTTTTACTTTTAATGCAACATGTTCTAAATTAGCAACATAATAAATAGTTAAATTCCTCTACTACTATTTTTATCTTCAGACTTATAAATATGTATAGAGCAAAACAAATAAATAAGCACTTCAGGATCAAATCTAAAATGAGCAAGCAGGAGTAAATGAGTTTGAAGTTTAATTTGATGTAACGTTGGCTTAGCTACACTTACACAAATCTGTATAAAGTCAAATATATAATAGTAGACAAATAATAAATTAATTCGATATTGATTAAAATATTTGTATTTTATCTACTCCTACTAGCCATCTAAAAACTGACTTACATGAGTGGTCATTTTAAAAGATCGAGCGGAGCAAAAACTTCAAACATATCAACAAAAAATGCATGACATACTAAATATGGTTATCAATTTAGTTTATAGTATTTTACATTAACTGGTGTAACAGAGGATCAGTCGTCTACGGTCTTGGGGCCCAATTCCTGAACTGTGAACGCAGCATAGTCGCAGTAGTGAATTATCTAAGGACTAAGAGGGGACACCAATTTATATAAATATAAAATAATATTACGTTATCTACCCATTAATAAAAAAAGTAGTTTGTGTAACAAGATTGGATATGATGGCCATATCGCACGAAGAAGAAGTTTGAGCACGACGCCATAGTCCTCCAATAACGAAAATCTAAAAATTTGTAAAATTATTTTAGGTTATTAAGATAAATCTAATTTAAAAATAATTTATGGCTTTTACTAATTTATATATTAAAATAAACTTGAAAAAGAAAATAGATTTCATTTAATAATTAGTCCACTTCTAGAATTGCATGATGTTATGTTGAGAATGTGGTGTTAATACACTGCGACCTAAAAGATCTATTGTGCCTCCTTCTGTCGCCAATGTACTAAGGAAATGTCTTAATGCCTATAACGACCCTTCCAATCCTATTTTCTCAAGAAAGTGTAGTATTTGAAATGGCTTCAAGTTAGGTAAATCTCCCTCTTCTATTTGATATCCTCTTAGATATAGTGCCCTTGGATTCTGCAGTGCTACACATTCAGTTAGGATGTGAATGGAGGTTTCGTCCTCCTCCTCACAGAATCTGCACTCACTATCATCTACTACTCTCAGTTTACTTAGGTGTCCTTTTAGTCGACAATGCCCGGTAAGGATCACTGTTACAATACGTAGCCTGTTCTTGCTCAGGCAGATGCAGGCTTCTGATCTTTTCTGGTTATATTCACCCAGAAGTATCTTGGCCTATCTCAGCATGATAGCCAGATGCCCTAATCTCTGCACCATTGGCACACATAACAATTTGGTTTTAATACTCGTAATTAAATTGATTTCATATAGTTTTATTAAAATGTATCGTTTATTTGTAAATATAGAAATGCTATTATTTATCAATTCTATATAAGAATAACTCATTTTAATGTATAATCTCATTAACTTATAAATAGACTGACAATTAGTTTGACAGAATTACCACTTTTTTAGAATTAAAAAAAAAAAAAATAATAATAGTCGGATGACCAAATTATAAACTGTGGTTTAATTTCATTTTTTTTGCAGTGTTCTTACTAGGTAGAATGGATATGAAATATATTCGTTCAGTTGAACATAATGGCATACTTTTTCGTTTTGTAGTCTGTGCGTAGAATCGCTAATATCTATGTGGATGTAGAAAAAATATATTCCAGCATAAGGATCACGACACTCGATTCGACTTAATCGTACAAATCGACGTTCGACTCGACCGCAATTCGAAAAAAGATTCATAAAACTCGATCGAGTTGATTTTCGTTTATTGTCGGTTTTTTTGAAGTCATTTGAACTACTACCAAGATAAATGTAATGTTCTGTGTCAGTTACGTTATGTTCTGTGGTTGCGTTATGTGTCCTGTGACTGCATTGATTACGTGTTCGTTTTTCGTTTTGCAATATTAGAGAGTTGAACTATTTCCAGTACGTTAACATAAACGTGAACGCAGAAAAATAATAGAGAGTTATTGCAAGTGCACTTAAGGTCAGTCACTATTAGTGCCGCTCTTATTTTGACATCTGAGCATGCGCAGATCATTTACATTCCAGAACTGACTTTAATAAAGATTGTGCCTGTCCTTAATTGTGGATGTTTAAGGACAGCAGTTAGTGGCGACCTTATAGCTTTCGGGTGCACTCGTCGACATTCGTATCCGTTCGAAGCTTTTTAATATTAAATATTTAATATAATCGTCATCTAAACTTTCTTAAATTATAATTTCTAATGCCTCTTCAAAATTAGGTACTATTATAGACAACAAAAAAGATGAACTATAATTGAAATGAGGTTAGAAATAAGTATAAGGACAAGAATTCAAATGTCAAAATTTCAGGTTTGCAATAAGTCTGATTTTAGCATGGAATTTATTTGACTCTAATTACGATGTCACTATTAGTGGCTGGCGTTATAGAAATTTGCAATATCTCTAATGTTTACGTTGCTGTACAAAATATGAGTTGAAGTTGTTAAACGCTTCGTGACATTTACGTATCATGACAAATAATGACAATTAATGACATTATATTGGGATACCTTTCCTATTAAAAAGAGGTTATTTTGTTTGCGTTACGTGTATACGCCAGAGCCCGTAAGTTTACGTATGTACGTAGACGTAAACGTGAAGGATATTTTAATAGGCATGTGCAGATGTCAAATTTCACGTATACGTTTACGTTTATAACATCACTTCAACTCTCTATTAGTTCCGTCTATAGCACCAACTGTATCAGGAAATCCCCATCTATTTAAAAACTGTAATTTTATAATATCTTGTGCATTTGCAGTTGGAAATTTTATTTTAGTCCTACTACGTGATCTATCATCAAATTGGCGATATGATCATATTTCTGCACAGTACTCTGAGCCATTCCAAAAATATACTCTTGACCAACACATCTTTGATATGAACCTGTAGCATAAAACTTTAAGGCACATAAAACCATATTATCAATCGATATGCCCCTAAAATCCTGTCTTTGGTGTAGATGAGGTCCTAAAGTGTCTATTAATTCGCGATCTAAGACTTTATTGAGGCGAAATAATTCAATAAAACGTCTATCCACAAGAAGAAAAGGATCGCTGTTCCGTCGTAACAAACGTCTTTCTCTTATTAAGGCCAAATTTTCTCGTCGACGTTGTCTTTCTAATAAAACTTGGTGAACAATAGGAAGCATTTTTGTTTTTTAAACTTAACCTCAAAATTGCACTAGAAATTGCGATCGAATGGAGACGATTATTCAAATGTCATCAATACATTTTAAACATTTCAGTCGATTAATCGAGATCGAGTATCCCAAATCGAGTGTTGTGATCCCTATGCAGGTCTATTTATAACTGTATACGGCTCCTTTTGTTTTGGTTGTTCCTAATCATAATCTGGCAATCAGTCCCTGGCGTTCAATACATTTTCCGTTATCTTACCTATTCACTGCAGGACTAAACGTTATGTAACTATGTGTTCGGGTGGTCAGCTCTAGCGACGTTGATCGCGTTTTTGGAGGTCGCAGATACCGAATCTTTAAACGCAACATGGCTACAAAAATGTCAGCTGTCTCCTTATTCTAGACACCACTTAGGCAAAACAACATACGTTGATGTAAATCAGGCGCAGAAGTTGAAAAGGCTTTTGGAAGGTAAAGAAGGGGTAACGTCAAACCACGTCGGACGGCTTCGAGAATTTCACGGTAATGATTACCTGCCAGTGTCGTTTCGTAGAATAAGTAATTTTAAAGTAATATAGTTTTATCTGACAAGTTACATGCATTCTGCCTGTTAGAGAAGGTTGTCCAGTAGTCAAGACCGCTTGTTGCAAGTCATTCGCCAAGCGACTTATGTGGAGACTACTCGCATATGACACAGTCTTTCAACGATACGATTTTTCTACTCGCACCTCACTGTATGCGAAAGGATGACGAAAGCTGTCAGGAATTAAGCCCCTGGTCTGTACGAACTCTAAAAGGTCCGCTTATGTAAGTCAGGCTAGTCTTTTACTGAAAATATTATTTGACAAAAAAATGGCATTTTGGCATTTGAGTTTTATGGTTTTGCTTACACATATTTATTGTTTTGTACTGTACTATTTTGATTTTTTTGTAAAAAATAAACACCGAACATAAATCAAAGTATTTTACTTATTTATACCTCTCCCAATTTTTAAAGAAACTTACAAGCAAAATGTTGAACTTGTCTTTTATATTTCTACCGCCTCGTAAATCAATTAGATGGTAAAGACGAGTTGTATCGAATGCACAGATTCCTAAAGGTATGTGAGCGAGCCCATCTGTCGGTTTTTAGCTCGACTTCAAAGGGATTTGGCCATATTTATACCCAACTTAAGATAAGCCTCTAAAAAATCAACGAATGTTTTGTTCTTGATATTGATCCTCAATGTGAGGATTGAATTACACTGTATAGACGCCCACAAACAAAAGAGGATGCACAGAAGTTTTATAGCCGACGCTAAAACGATTTTTAAATAATCTGTCAGTAATGAAAAATGTTTTTCATGATCTGAAAAGTGTTAGATCTTAAAATCTGAACGAGAATAAATTGAGTAACAGACAATAAATTTTATAGTGTTTCCAAACTCAATCCAATATAGGCGTTTGTACCGGGATTGCGTAATAATTCGCGTTACATGCCATGCGAATGCTACAAATTCTATACCCTTACATGGCAAATAAGCGTGAACCGTCTTGGTATAGCCTCTGATGTGGCACACTTAAGTTTTAAACATCTACGCACCTACAGTTGATATTAAGTCCACAAGTGAGCGGCCAGAATTGTTGGCTCGCTTGGCTGCTTTAGTTATTTTATCTTTGATCAGTAGCTTGCACGGTTTGAAAAATTTTCCCAAAGCGTTTGTTATAAACTTGTTTTTATTTTTCGGTGTTTCTGTTAAATTTTGATTTGTGTTATACGAGATGCTTTCTGGAGACCTTTTGAGGTAGATGTAGATGCTAGAGTCATAATTTTACATGCCGGAAATGAAAATGGCTTTGTAGCAAACGCTTCGCTACTTTCAGAATAATATGTCAATAAAGCTCTGCTGGTTTATCATAAAGATATGAATGCAGCAGTTTTTAAGAACTGGTTTGCTGAACAACTTACCGAATATTCCAACGAATTCAGTCATTGTAATGGAGGGGCCCCCGCCACCATATGTGCAAAGTGTGCAATGCACACGGGCGCCATCCTTTAGAGGCGCCAAAACCCAGGGTCTAAAATAAATTAATTTTAAAATAAAAGTTGTGAAATTAAATAGGAGTAGGTATAAATACACACGAATTTTTTTTTAGTATATCATCCAGTTACTGCCGATTCCTATGTTGCGAGAACATGTCAGGCGGTAGTTTCTTGATTTTTCCTGTTTCGACATTAATAATGCCTGGGGCCCTATCCTCGGTTATCGTTTTCTAAAAAACGTATAAGCTTTAGCAAGATGCGAGCTATTCGCTATTCTCGACATTTGTTTTAAAAGCGTGTACGATTTTAAAACGGGTGTTTTACAGCGAGCGGAATTTTTCACACGTTTTTGATAAAACTTGCATGTTTTCCAGGATTTAACCAATGTCACTTTTAGGATGATTAATAATATTGATCGATTTTAACAAATTCTAGGCAAACTACTTTTTATTAATACCTACAAAAGTATATAATTTCTTATAAATAGCTGAGAATTTCTTTCAGTTACTTACAGTTCTTACCGTGTAAGAATTTAATTATTAATTCATGTATGTTTTATTTACAGAAATTAATTTGCTTGCGGTTTCTTGCAAGTGGTAGTTTCAAAGCTCTTCTATATCACACGTTGTGTCCAAAAATTTTAACAATTTTGTAAAATTGCCACAAAATATTAAAGAACAGAATGAGATAAGCAAAATTATTTAATTTTGTACCATGACGTACGATTTTCGTGGAATTATAGATTGCATTGACTGCACCTGTATAGCTATTTTTCCGATAAATATTCTGAACATTTATATATTATGTGATTAGAAAAAATTATCATTCGATAAATTTACAATTTGTTTGTTGTAATTAAATTACATAATCCTTATTTTTTTATGGTCTGAACATTACTTAAATTTAACGATAAAGACCGTTTACCGTGATGCCAGACATATTATTTGCTTGTTAAAAAACGAATGCTCATCGAACGGCAGTCAATAATATAGATTTCAAAAACTACTCGCTTTTCAACCACTCACTTTCGAAAACGGTTAGTTTTTTTTTAGCGATTGTCGAGGATATATACCTAATCCTATTTAATTTCACAACTTTTATTTTAAAATTAATTTATTTTAGACCCTGGGTTTTGGCGCCTCTAAAGGATGGCGCCCGTGTGCATTGCACACTTTGCACATATGGTGGCGGGGGCCCTGAGGACAGTTATTTAAAGAAAAGACAATTTTATAAAATATATATTTATTTACAATATAAAATATACTGTCTATATACATAATAAAATCAAATATATATGATGGCAATAGCCTAAATTCAATAAAATCTTTAAAGTTATGAGCACATGATAAAATTGATTACTTATACATTATACAGAATGCTTCAACATGGAATGGAATTAACACAAGTGTTTATGGAAAACGGCCTGAAGTTATTTTCAGTCAAAACATACCATAAAATTGGTGAAAGGTAAATTATATAACCCATAATACTGATTGTATAAAATCGTGAAAATTTAAAAATGATGGTAACACAAATTGTGTTAAATAGAAAATAACAAAATTGTTCAATAATTTTTTTTCTTTCGCCAATATCTGCACACAATTATATTCTTGTATGTATGGTTTTTAATCTGGTCTTTTTCCATAAACACTTTCTGTATATGGAATTTCAGGAAGTATTGTTTAATGTCTAATTATAACATTTAATATTTATTTTGAATTTTTTAGTAAAACGATTCTTAAGTAGATGCAATTGTTCACTGATTTTAAAATGAAAATGTTATAAATACTCGCCATTAAATAATAAGGCAATATATACAGGAATGTATTGATAAAAAACATGCAATGAACAATAATTAAATGAATTTTTATATAATTATTTTTGTAAATAAAACAAAAAATTATCACAATTACAAATTATAAAATTACCGGATCAAAAAATCCCAAATTTATTAAAATTTATAAATAAAATTACTAAAATAAAATATTAAAACTCGGTACGACATTGAATACCAAGATGTGAAAAAAAAATGATACTGTAATTAATATCAATAATTATTAGCTTATCTGATTTATACATTATGTAAAATAAACGAAGACATGTGTCTCAAAGTTATAATTTTTTTATTGGGAAGCAAAATTTGGAAGTCCTTTTTACGTCTTATGAGAAGAAATAAACTTATCCAATGCTAAATCGTTCATTATTGAATATGTTCAAAGGTCTCCACAAGTTGCGGAATGAATTTAAAAGTGTTCCACGTAATTTTCATTTAAAAAAGTGAAAAAGTTTTCGGTAAGTACCTAGGTTCTAGATGAAACAACACTCAAAACTAAAAATGATAGAAGACACATATCTCGCTTCTGCAAACCACTGTCCTTCTTTTAAACTTTAAAATTACACTTTCGTCCCACTTTTCTGATGATGATCTCCTATAGTAACTTGAGTTACAAACGGTCCTCTTCCCCTACTAGTCGGATGCCTACCCTGCACTGGTGGATTCCTAGGCAAGGAATTCGAATTAGCGTCTTGTTGATGTACCGGATGTTGTTGAGGTGGTTGGGTATTTCCAGGATGACCATTTGGACGAGACCTCCCGCCGTTGAGGATCGACTGGATACTTTCGTATTCATAGTAGTTTGATACTGGACGGAGTTGGTTATCCGTTCTAGTTTGACGTTGGGAATGGTATTGATGCTGTTTTCGACTGAAAGGTGAAATTATTTTTGTTTTAGCAAATAGTATCATTGGTTGGTTGCAGTTTTTTTTAACAAGCGTATTTTTAAATGCAGTAAGCTAGTTCAAAATGAAAATTTAAAAAATATTTTGCTACACTAATATGCAATTTTAATTATTAAGGGTAGGAAGGAATGACGTATTCCAATACGTTTTGCGTATGTTCAAGTGAAAACAGCAGGTTGAGCAGGAAACGAATAATATCAAAGAAGCCAGGCTGAGTATGGGATTTATCTCGCCGTGTGCCTGTCCACATTATCATCATATTCATTTCCTGCTCACATTAAAGGTAACTCTCTATATAGTTTTTGCTTCGACGCTAACAAAGCGTATTGGAAGGCGTTCAATAGCCGATGCTGTATATGTGAAATACTATCTAATTCCACAACTAATATTTAACTATGAACTTTCCATTAAAGGTTATTTATAACATCACATCCTGTATTATCAAATAATGGTTTTCTATATTTAACTTATCAATACTCCTTTGGTAGGCATATTAGTTTATATCTTGAGCTTCAGTGCTTCAAATTAAACCGATGCTAGTACAGCGATTCTATTGAAGTATCTCAATATCATAGCGTACCAGAAACGCTGCACTACATCTGATCCATCTGTTAATTTTATAGCTCTATATGCACTCTGCCACTACTAATTGACTGAAAGTTATCCTAGAAAGCAGAACTGACTTTGGACACGACCAAGGTTTGGTCTGCTAGGGTTCTGGTGTTTATCGATTTCCAAGAAACAGAAGTGATGCTACCTTTTCGTCCAAAGTCTTATTTGGCGACGAGTCATAGATGTACACACATCACTCTTTGTGAGGAACTTCTAGGCTATTCAACTAACCTTTTTTTAATTAAAACTGCACTTCACTTGGAAGGCGGCGTTTTAGTTCTAATAAGAGATCCAAACAGAATTTCAATAGGTACTGCATGTGACATTATAGTTGTGTTTTTTCAGATCCGAATTTTTGTTCATTGATAATCTTAATTTTATCTCTTTTATTACAGGTTGATTCAAACAGAACTTTACATTTTTTAAAAATTATTCAGTATATTGTTTATTCATAAAATATTGTAATATACTTAAACTATCTACCTCACTATATTTAACTAACCATCAGTCGTAAAAGAAAATTTACATACAGTTTTTGTCATTTCACTAATGGGCCTAATGATGGATCCACGGTCTCTTATGTCAGATAGATTTTGTGTTTTTTGATTTTACTAAAATTATTACTGCAAAGCTTGTCTACTTTTATTATCTAGAATAACTAAAAATACAAAACTGAGTGTCTATTTTACGAAGAAATAGCTTGAACTCTATGAATAAATCAGTATATTGCATACAGTACAAATTAGATGAAACACCTAAGACAAACGGTCTACCTAGTTATCAATTTTTGATTTAATTAAGTTACGGCATACAAAGGACCCCGCATTTTTCTTATGTAAAGTGGCGGGTCAAATTTTCTGAAATTTTGGTAAGTTGTTGTACTCAAACCTAGTAACCAAAAGTGTCAATGGGCCCAACTTAATCCTATGACTAGTTTTCGAGATATGGAGTGTTAAAGTTGAAAAGTGTCCAGTTTTCGTAATTTTTATTTTTAAACTTACGAGCTAGATTGAATTTCTGTTGCATACCCACGTTAACTACATATTTTAGTAATTCATTAGAACATACGTACAATTAAAAGTAGTTATAATTACAGGGTGATTCACAAATGAATAGAAAATCTCACTAATTCTACTGTGACGTCAGGGAAGCATATTTTCAAAAAGTACTACTCAATATGGTATTTGACGACAAAATATTGCACATCACACATTTCTTATAGTGTTTTATAGAAATAACCACAACTTATTTTTTTAAGAATAATTCAAAACCCAGTACTTATGAATTACTTTTTGGGAATATACAAGGTGATTTATTTGTTGAAAAGTAATTTTAAGAAAAGTACAAAAACCACGAATTTCCTTAGTCAAATGCAACCATTTTCTCAGTATTTAATAGTTTTAAAAATGTTTTAAGGGGACATGAATTTTAAAACCGATTTGACCAGTTTTCGAGATACACGTTAAAGTGGAGAATTTCTGATTTTAGTTATTTTTCCTTTAAACTGAAAAGCTAGATTGACTTTAATATGTAAGTTTCTTATAATAAGTTTTGGTCAGATGTCCATAAAAAGGCACAGTTTAAAATATTTACTGTTACAAGGTGATTCACGAATAAATCACAAAACATTTTTGCAAATAATACATCTACAGTTGCGGTACACAATTTTAAAGTCAAAATATTTTGCTACGTGTACTTTTTGTACAGGGCAACCAACCACCAAAAATAATTCTGTGAAAGTGAAAGGTAAAAAGGGCATAAGTCAATTATTGGTGATATTACGTGGGTCGTTAATTCAAGCTCTTTAAGCCTTTGTTTATTCCGATTAGTTACAGTTCAACATTCTTAAGTGAAAGTTAAAAATCTTTAGTGACTTTTGAGTAAGTTAATAACATTACATTAGGTATATAACCATAAGATTTTAACATATACATAACTGTTTTATAATTATATTTCTGAATCATCCTGTAATTATAAACATATTTAATTGTACGTATGTACTAATGCATTACTAAAACATGTATTAAACGTGTGTATTCAACAGAAATTCAATCTAGCTCGTAAGTTTGAAAATAAAAATGTAACAACCCGTATTTCGAAAACTAGTAATAGGATTGAGTTGGGTCCATTGACACTTTTTGTTACTAGGTTGAGTACCAGTGGTAAATCACTAATGTTAAAACGTACCTGTATTTTGGAAATCCCCTAAAATTCGTATGATTTCATTGATTTTGCCAAAATCCACCTTAATATTAGACGATTTCACCGAAATCCTCCGTAATTTTATACGATTTCGGTGACTTCGCCGAAATCTCCCTTAGTTTTATACGATTTCGGTGATTTGGCCGAAATATCCCTTAGTTTTATATGTTTTCGATGATTTTGGTGAAATCATTGCATACAATTTCCTATGATTTCCCTATAAGTTGTCTTCTTGTTTTTTTGTACTCTTCCCTACCTTGTGTTTTGACCACAAGGTGCAGCGTTTATAGTTCTGAGCACCGAATTGATTTCGGAAATTTCGAGAGAATTTGTAGTGATTTCGGTACCTGTATTTCAGGCGAGGTTCGCCCCTTGGTTGAGTACAGAGATAGGAGATGTAACTACTAACAAATATCGTGCGGTCCTGAATAAGACATATTCTAAGGGACACAGGAGGGTATAATATCGGCTGTTGTCATATGCCTATGTCATTATTCTCGTTTTGTTTACAAAATTATTTACATATATTAAAAAAGCTAAAATAATTTAACCTAAAAAATTTCGAATCATTAGTTATATCAAATTTAACTAAATTAGATGTAATTTCACTAAATTAGATGTAATTTCACTAAATTAGATAATAAATAATTTTTAAATAAATTCCAAAACCTAGTCATGTTAGGTTTGGAAGTGGTAACAGGGTTTACATCGGCATGGATCTCTACGTTGTTTATTCTAAGTGAAAAGCGGCTTACACATTTATTCATTGATAAAAAATTGTATCTGCGTAAAGTTCTTCTCTTTATTCCCTCTCTTACTTCTCACCTTTCATCTCCTCTCCTCGTCCCTACAAATAGATTGTATTGATTGTCGAATTAATCTTGGCATAGTGAATATTATATTTTATCAATGAATGGTTATATCTCTGGTTGAGTACAACAACCCAAAGTTTCAGAAAATTTGACCAGTCGCCACTTTATATAAAGAAAGTACGGGGTCCCTTAATTAACTATCAATTTCGTAACATCTCATTTGAAAATTGTTTTCATAATGTTTGCATACATTTAGTACAAAGCTAATTCAGTTGGAGCCTTTAGTAAGCAGTCTTTAGATAGGATTTGATATAAACATATCACCAATCAAACAACATTTTACTGTGGATACAGGTTCGCAACAACAGCCGCTTCTAATTTATAGTACAACAGATAAAAATTTAAGTTTTAATCTAGTTTTTCGTATCATATCCCTTCTACCCCTCACCTCTAAACAAACTTCTTTAAAAAAACAAGCGATGTTGTTAATCAACTGTACTTTCAAATGAGGTATCATTCAGAATTTCTAATTTAAAAATTTAAGGGGTATACCTTAATTAAATCAATAAACTAACTTAGAATAAAAAATTTACTCTGTAAAAACTGTACCTTATCGAAAAAACATTTTTACAAATAGTTATGCCAGGAAAGATATAAACATAATTACATAAATCATGCCAAGCATTGTAAAAAATAAATACACTCGTAACCAGTTCAAAAATAATCTTAAATAATTGAAAAACACAAAAAGTTTATTTTAATAGAAGTGTGGGTAGTGTATTCATTTTTTTATTTTTTTTTATTTATGCCCACCCAACAAAAGCGTGCAAGTGTTAGATACAGAAAAGAAAACGGTAGAAAATATATAAAACAAACCAAAAAAATAAATGAACGATAACATTGAGGTGCATACCTTTCTTCCTCCACCTTTAACCTTTGCTGTTGCACCTGAAGACGCATCTGAACTATCTGACTATCAGATAGAGGGTCTTTATTTCGGCTAACGGGACAAAACATTTATTTTAGACATACACAGTTTGTTATCAACAATTCAAAACAAGATATAAGACATCAAACCATAAGCCAAAAAACAAGTATTAAAAATGGAGGATAATATTTAGTTTTTTTCTCAAAACATATTTTAGATAGTCCTAATCATCTAGTACGAGGACGTATTGATAAACCAAGTTCTTCATCTATATAGCTCCTATCACATTTTTGTTGGAAAAAAATGTATGAATTTTTAGATTTTTGTTCATGAGTACTCCATGGTAGTGACAAAAAAACTGATGCTACAACTTTTTCAGTAGATTTTTAAGATCCAAAGTACATTTCATTGAATTCTCCTTTGTTTCTAGATCAAAGAAATGTACCAGTTTCATTCATTGTAATATGGCTTAAATTCATCATCAACTATGTGATGATGCAGACCGACGCCGATGAATTCGAAATCTCGTGTAAATATTTTTACACTCACTGACAGATCGATGACTTGTCGTTGCAGGCTGCTACATGTCGCGAGAAGCAGTCACTCCAGTAGTGCCACTAGGGGAGGTTTCTGATGAGTAACTTGCATAGAAAATGCTGGATTTAAACACAATGTGCTTTCTTAAGTACATGTACGATTTGTCCTATTTTATATGGGTCTTCACCCAGCTTCTCAAATAGAGTATAATATAATAATCAAATATCTCAATTTTATAATTGGATGTACTCATAACTGGCTATTTATTTCGTTTTTTGCATCTCAAATATAACAAACACAAGCAAATACCATTTGTTAACTCTCACCATGTCGCTTGCTCGATCTGGCACTGTAGCCGGGTGATGTTCTGGCTAATGCAAACATACTCTGAAGGTATCGTGTAGGTGTTTGTTTGCGCTGCGCTGTCGTGACGATGTCGGTATTGGTAGATGTAAAAACGCCCGTGAAATAAATATTCAGTGTCTGAGATATTCGTTTTAACCCAATTAGACTATTTGATATTTTTTCTCTCTTCATCTTAATAATTGCAAGTGCATGAATTACACAACTACGTTTTGCCTTTTTGACGTAAAATTTGACAGTGAAAAATTACAATAAAATTTGGTGTCGCAATCTTGTGTTTATCCAAGGAACCAGTCAAGGCAAACTATAAATATCAATACATCCTCATATCTTCGCGTTTTACAAAAATATTAATTATACAATATCCTAAATTCCTATAAAAAATACTGTATATCAACCGAAAAATGTATTGAAAGAATGTTAAATTAAATAGATTTATTAAAAAAGGTTTTTTGTAACAAAATTATAATTCATGTCATGCGTCTATATTTAAAATATAAACCAGTGAGTTAGTTACAAATGAAATGTGCAATTCAGAAACAAGTATAAGAACAGAATATTACTACAGAAATAAATCATTCAGACAAAGAATACTTTTGAAAAATAGTATGTCAAAAAAATAATGATCTTACTACAAATAACTTGGACACAAAATCCTCACATTCTAGCTCTTTCATCAAAGTACAAAAGTTAATATTTTTATGCAAAACATTTAAAAAATATTCAACACATCGGAAACGATTTTTTATTTGTATTTTTTTATGTATTATTGGTCTGAATAGATTCTCATATATTTGACATGTATTTTATAACAATTAAGTTCTTACCTAATGTGGTTTTGCAGTTCATTATAATTAACATAATGAGTGAAAGGAACAGACTCAGTGATGCCTGATCTACTACCTGGCCTTCCATACTCTACATATGGATTCGAGGGATCTATTCGCTAAAAATGAATAACAAAAATATTCATTGACATTTTTGTAATAATTATTAAACAATTGTTTAAATTATGAGGTTTTTTAATTGGAAGGTCAGTTCTCTCGACACATTTTTGTTTATATGTTTAGAAGTACAGATTTAAAATTCAGATGACAAACACTGATGAAATTATAATTAGTGTGCTGTGGATAGAGTGATGTTTCGATATTATTTAAAAAAATACAGGGTTTCTACTATTTCATAGGGACAGTATTGATATTTCTTAATCAGTAACAGATAGAAAGTTGGTAAAATTAGACAAAGGTTTCGTAGTTTTGTGCTCATTAAAATGCTGCCGGGAAATCTTTGATATCTACAGAGAGATTCAAAATCTCTGACAAATAATGAAAATTGTCATTTAAATTCATTCACCTTTGTCTAATATTTTGAATCTCCCTGTAGATATCAAAGGTTTCTTAGCACCATTTCAATGAGCACAACAACTTTTGTCTAATTTAACCAACTTTCTATCTGTTACCGTTTAAGAAATAGCAATACTATTCCTATGAAATAGTAGGGACCATGTATATAAAAAGTATGCAATTTCGAAAAATGTATTAGTATATTTCCATTTTTTAAAACACAAAAAAAATCTAGCAAAAATAAATCGATCAAACTGTTAGATCTAGAATAAAAACAAAACTGTATTATATAAATTGAAATTCAGTGAAGATGAAGTTCATTTTCATACTTCATAAACTTGAAGTATTTAATAGAGCAAATACTGGAGTATTAGACATTTTTTTAAAAGAATCTCTCTCTTAAAACTCTGCTGACAATGGTACATTATACCCCACCACTTTGCCATTCCAATAAAGAATACGTTTTTAACTCCACTTTCTATTAAAGAAACAGTCGCTTTCATAAGTCTTTTCAATTGTCTAGTAAAGAGTATTTGTAACGTATGGAAGGTGGGTTACCACACAGCACTAAGGCCTCACTAGGACTATTATGCATCCTCCTAAGATGATAGGCACCTCCTAGCTCGTGAGCCAACCTACAGATTTAATGTAGTTGACAACGTCAGCAAGAGGTGTTAGCCGATACTCGCCGAAAACAAATCTTCTAATGAATGAAAGCGTCGGGCAATCGTAGAGGATATGCTCGATGGTCCCATCTTCTTGTTCGCACCCCCTGCAGAGTGCGGATTCTGATAGCCCCATGATATGGAAATGATTCCGTACTTGGCAATGACCAGTCAGAATGTCTGTGACCAGGCGCAGATTATGTCTAGTCATAGTTAAGTATTTGTTTGCTGTAGTGTTGTCAGGATAACTAAAACTCTCTGGCAACTGCAGTTTCTTGTTTCATTCCTCATTTCCTTGAATTTCACAAGGGAATGTTGTTTAATTAGGTCCATCACTACCGATTTTGTCAGGCCAATAGAAGGGCCAGGTCCAAAAAGTAATTGGTTGGCTACCTTCTTGGCCAGTGAATCAGCAAGACAGTTAGTTACCTTTCGATGTGGCGTGACGTTCGATTCATCTTAAGGTGACCACATTGTTGATGGATACTTTGGCCAAAGCTTCATGACATTCCAGTACTAACCCTGTGCTTGTCTACTATCTGTATAGATGAACATGTTTCTTCCAGTGATATTGTTTCTGGTGATTTCTTTTGCTGATATGAGTAAAGAGTATTCTGGAATGCTCTTCAGTTATTTGGCTACCACAATAAATAAGTAAAATTCCACTTTTCAACTCGGATTATTGTGTGTGTGGTTTTGTTTTGCTTAGATGATTTAAAATTTCTATTTGTCCTGAATAAATAAAAAATAAATGATACACATGAAAGCTGAATTCTCATCAAATATTGTTATCAAAAGTTTTACCTGTTGAGATTGTTGTCTTGAATCATAGGCCTCTCCTCTTTCATCAGTTTGGTAGTAGGTATGCCTTTGCGCCATACGCTGCTTGTGAAGCTCTCTCTCGTGGCGTCTATGTTCGGAAGATTGCCTGTATTTTACTGGAGGGATTACGGCATTTTCAGGAATGACCTATTAAAAAAAAACAAATGAGTATAAATAACTAGTAACGCTGAGGTACTAATAAATAAGTGAAATGAATAATGATATATTATTGGCTTTAATTTGCCGAAAGTTCAAATTGTAATAAACTAGCCTTAGCTCTGTCTACAATCATTGTTATGGACTATATAAAACATTACTGTACATTAATGGTTAATAACTGTTTCTGATTATTACTATTATTTAATAAATTGAAAGATATATTTTATATTTTGAGTTAACTCTTCACAAAACATTCGAGCATGTATTAGGATACAGCACGTCACTGTTTCTTGTACCATTTCCTATATCCCTGGCTAAATAATATTGAAACACATTATTTCTACGAATAACGTCTGCCTAACCTAATAAATAATCGAAGAGCAAAACAAACAAAAATGTCGACTTACCTGAACCTGTTCAGCATGCCTATGCAAGTACCCATGCCTTGTGTACAATGGTTCTCGAATAACATGTTGGTCCCTTTGAGAATGGACAGAATTCTGACCCAAATGATTCATACTGTGACCTGTTGTCGGAGACGACCTACTCTGAGAATGCGAATTACCATTCTGAATAACAACATGATTCTGATTCTGAGCATTGGACAGCTGAGTCGGGTGATGCGAAGTCTGATGGGATTGATACTGAGTACTCTGCGCTTGGTTAGGATGCTGGGAATGATGTGAACTCTGACTCTGTTGTGAAATTTGCGAATGGTGTGAAGTCTGTGAGTGATGCGAATTTTGGGAAGCATTAAGCAGGTTCTGAGAAACATGAGGGATCTGAGGTTGATGTACATTTTGTGATTGGGTTTGATGGGAAGTTTGAGGTTGATGGGAATTTTGGTTTTGGGAATTGGAATTTGAGGATTGTAGTCGTTCTGTTTGACTAGTTTGACTTCGACTGTCATTTTCTGATTGGGGTTGAGAGGGTAGGTTGGCGTTATTATCAAATTCGTTTGAATGGTGATAATGTTGAACTGGCTCCGGTGTTTGGAAATCCAATTTTCTGTGTTTTCCAAACCTGTAAAAAGAATATTATGAACAGACTTAAATAAAATCAGACTTTTAAAAAATACAATAGTGCTTGAAATTTTGGATTATCGTTGACGATCTTTCTGTTCCAGCAGTCCGATTTTGCTCTAATATTTGAAAATCATTAAAAGTGTTCTGTTTGTAGATACATACGGTTTGACCATGGAACATCTTCCAATATCCCTTGGCACATGCATGTGCATGTGAAAACTACAGACAATCAGCACTAGGGCAAGCATTAAAGAAACAATACCAGGGTTGCCACCCTACACTGCCCTGGCCAACATTTCAACGCGGTCGGTTTGTATAAATGGCAACGTTGACACCATTCTTTTTCCTCTTGCTCCAATGCCAACTCTCTGTAGCTTTCACTTGTTTTATCGTGTATTGAAAGACATTCAGTGGAAGACACCATATATTAACACTTTTTAGATATGTGACTGTAACATTTTAATACCTTATTATTTACCTGAACATTGATCCTATTCCCTTAAATATTCCAGGTTTCTTTTTTGAGGATTTGTTTTTGATGTCAATAGCAGCATTTAATGACGATTGCCTTGGTGCTCCTCTAACATTATTAAAGCCATCAATTTCGCGTTCGTTGTCCATCGGACCATCCAACAACCAATGTTTTTTAGCACCTACAAAAAAGACAAATATGTTTGCTATAATTCTTCCTGGAAAATTCTAGAGTCTATAACAATACCCGCATTTCACGTGATATGGTAAAACAAGAAATTAGAGAAGATATAATTGCATTTTTAGTGACTTATGTAAACTTAATTGCCAGTTCTGTCTGTTGTGTTTATTATATGACATCAATTTGGTCACGTGGGACGAGGGTATCGCTGAAAACTTAATTTTTTTAAATAATGTTATATTGTGCGTTGTGCATTGAATTATTAATAATACCTCTATGCTTCAAATTGAGTGAATGACATATTTTATTAATAATAATTTTTGCAATAATGGGGAAATTCTATGACAAAGAAATATATAAATTATAGAGATGGAAAACTTTTCATGAAAAGTAATTTTTGAACTAGTTCGACGGATATTTCCGGATAAAATAGTGAAAAGTCACAATGAAAAATAGTCTACTCTACTCTACTTTTTCTGAATTGACGTTTCTAGCTTTAAAAGGACTTACATGTAAGTAACTATTTAAAAATGCTTTGTGAATATGACTTGTCAGGTAAGCAATCATGTTCCTAAAAATTACTTCGTTTTAATTATTGGTATTAGACCCTTCACGACTGTCACACTAGAAAGGTAACTTTTAAAACAATGAAACCTAGATTTATATGTACCTAAATATCAATTTCTAGAATAAAAAAATAGAAGAATTCTACACTACTAAACGAAGGTATTTTTTAAATATATGTATAGTACGAGGAATGATTTGAGGTCTCATATTTTAAAATAATCTGGATTTATAAAGCGAGGTTTAAGCAAGCAATATTTGCACACTTCCCAATAGAGAATGAAAATTTTTCAAGGAATAAATCAGGGTACAATGGCAAATACAACATATTAGTAGAGCAAGGACGCATATAGAGACACAAGTAGAACTTCGTTATTAGGAGACGGATATTTGACCTGGAAATTAGAATGTACTCAGACATAACTTATATGGTTATTAAGAATCGCACATGAGACTTAAAATCATTCCTACTACTATAATTACCTATCTCACTTCTATGATTCGGATCAACCACCGCTGCTCTAAAACTCTCTTCACAACCTTTTCCTCTTATGACTTTTAGAGCCCCTGAGGGTCCTCTGTAGCTGTACGCAGGGTCACCTTCTTCTTGCATCTGAATCTATAAAAAAAAAAAAATGGTTTGTGCAATAAGAGTGGATATGGATAATCCACTCGAGTTGTACAGTATATTTTTTCTACGACCCACTTACGAAAATCTACAAATTTAAAAATTATTTTTATTCGAACTCGGGTCTCTCGCATGGAAGACAGTCACTGTCCCCTCACCTCCACCGGAAGATTTAAGATTTCAGTTCTAACACTCGTAATTAAATTAGTTTCAAACAGTTTGATTAAAATTTTAAATTTATTTCAAAATGTTCAAAATGTGGACGAAATTAAAATAGAAATGCTATTATTAATTCTTTGCAAAAATAAGTAATTTTAATGTATTTAATCTCAATAACTAAAAAATATACTGACAATTAGTTTGACAGAAATGTCATTTATTTAAAATTTTAAAAATAATAGTAGTTGGGTGACCAAAATATGAACTGTGATTAGTGGATTTCATTTTTTTGCAGTGTTCTCACTACCCAGAATGGATAAGAAATATATATTCGTTTAGTTGAACGCAATAGCATACGTTTTCATTTTTTAGTCTGTGTGTAGATAAGCTAATATCCATGCTGATATAGAAATATTAAGACATTACCATTTATTTATTTTATTATGAAAAAAACCCCTATGTGATACATCGAAGTGATTACACAATCAATCATGATCGATTCCAAGAAATAGTTTGCAACATGTCTCAATACAACGTGTGATTTTTCTCTAAAAGCCTTTCTGCTATGATCCATGATTACCAATTAGCAGTTAATTCTGCATTGCAATCTTGCTAAATGAGGTTACCACCATCTAAGTAATATAATATGATCGCTGGAAAGGCAACTTTATAGTTAACATATTATGTGGATGGATGCATAAGCAAAACACTATACACCAAAAGTTTAATTGCGTCTCCTGTAAAATAGCTAAAATGGAGTTACGCCTGTTTGTCTTTCCAGCGATGAATTGTATTCATACTATTTCTCTTCATATGTAGTTATTTTAAAATTACAAATCATTTTACTTTATTTTTCAATTTTAACATAAAAGGAATCATAAAAATTCTTGTACGCTTACCTCTTGTACCATGGTCTGTAATGACTCTAAACTAGATGATTTCTTCATACCTAGACTTGGCCCCAATTGACCCAATTTATCAGCATCTAATAAAGATATATTTTAATGACATATTTACTTTTATTCAAAATGCTACGAAATAAATACTGAAAAATAGCAATAAATAATTGTCAAATCTGGTTTAACCCTATCCAAATAAAGACGTTTAAAAAAAAATGAGGATACTTAAAACACTATAAATTTACCACCATAAAATAATATGCGATTTTTCATTATTTATTTCTTTTTCTAAATATAAATTTAGTGACAATGAATTAATGAAAGAGATGCTTACACTCAGGATGCTCTGACGATCGATTAACACTAATGATAGATTCCACCGAACCTACACGTACTAAGCCAGCTGTTGAATGAAATGAAAAACACAAACAATTAGCACATATACTTTAAACTAGCGGTTGGTTAATTACATAAATTCAACAACAACAAATTCAAAATATTGTCCTTCCATTAAGAAATAAATTTCTTAAAAGAAACTGAGAATATTTATTATTTCTTCCCTGGCAGATACTTTTAAGTTTGTTGTTTTGCAAATATTGTTACTACCAAAAAACTACTACTGATAGGTATAGCAAAAATATACTTACTCTTTTCCTGCTGTTTTCTCTCCTCCCTCAACTTTTTGGACCTCTGATAGGTATCAGTGCTTTTTGCATCTAGAGTAGCGTGCCTTTTCTCAGACATACTTTGTCTACCAAAAGCATCCCGGCTGAACCCTTGAGCATTTTCAAGGGACAGCTGGCTGGCATAGGTAGCGTCTGTACATTGGATAGTGTTTTGAGAAGAGGTGTCAGTACTTTTGTCTCCGTTAGAACCTGACAGGCTCGCTTTGCCATCCGGTTCTTGATCAGAACGGTTTTCCGGAAGACTGGCGGACATTTTGTTGGTCATGTGGACGTTGATTCTGAAAAATACATAAATATTTAAGTTTAAATATCGTTGAATGGAGAATTTAGAAATTTATTGTCATTTTTCTATTGTACGGTTGAAAATTTTAAACTCAAAAGTTCAATTATTCCAATTTTCAAAAGTTGACATGATAAAATTTTTGCATCAATAATAGTATTAATAGTAATAAAAGAAAAACTAACTCTGAATTTATAGGTAAGAATATTTAATGTTTTAAAAACTCTGATATATCGCTTGGCAAGTTAAATTATTATCAAAATATACCGTCTTAATATTTCAATTGTGAAAAAACTACTGGTCTTACTAAAATAATCAAATATGATAAACATAAAAATTATTTTGTACGCCACCAGAAAATCATCAAAGTAGCATTTTTGTGAATTGCATATCTTGAAACTTTTTTAGGTCCCTATAGTCACGTTTCAATATTTACTTACTGTTGATTAGGATGTGTCAAAACTCTAGACCCATACTCGTCTTCAATAAGAATTGGTTCAGCAGTGGCTATATTTACAGTAGTACCGGACATATTACCAAAAGAGCTATTTCCAAGCATGCTACTCGTCCAAGTGTCATGAGTAGCCTAAAAACAAATGTCAAAAATTAAATATCATTTTCTAACTAAAAATTATGATAATTACCTTGTAATAGCTCTCGTTCCTCAACTGTTGTGTGAATTTGTTATTCCCTGTTAACCTTTCTAGGACTGGATTCCAAGTGTGCATTGGGCTAATTTGGCCATTAACCATCGGTTTATCAGTTCCATGACTTGAAATACTTCCCACACCCCCATATGAATTAGTACTTCCCACGCTGGTGTGACTCGAAATATTCCCTATTCCTCCATGAGGGTTAAAAATAACAGTAGTAGCTGAATCTCCACTCGTACCAGAGTTATTAACGGAGTCCGTTTTTTCTTGAGAATCAGAAGAAGAAATTCCTGAAAAAAAACAACAATTATATCTTATACAAGGTGCCATTAGTGTAAAAATACTTAATTTATGTGCAAAAATCAAAATCTCAGTTGTTTATTCAACCGTTTTATATTCAAAATATACAAAAAGTCAAATAAAACCCAAAAAAGTTTAATGAATGGAATGTAGAAATATAAAGGTAGGTAACACACTTGTACTGTGAACCTCCCTAAAGTACAACTCTGAACACCCCGAAAGAAACAAAAATAAAGATATACTATGGTCAGTGATAAAAAAAGTACCATCATTTCAGTAGCGCAGTATGTCAAGCTGTCCGGTATTCATTTATGGGCCTTTTAGTGGTTTAGTGACACTCCGTTTCAGATCCTAGATCAAATCATGTGTAATTTTAATTAACTTGCATGATTCGTTGTAGGATTTGATGGGTGCCGTATTAGCATTAATTTAATTTCTATTGATATGACATCTAGATTATAAATCGAAGTGCTTTATCACTTCGATCCCCCCTCACAAGCTCAGTCGGCTTCATAGGTTAAAATTCAGTGGTAAAGGGTTAAATTATAGGGAGGGTATTATATAATATTTTTTAATGGCTAGAATGTTCTGAAACAAAGATCCTGGAGGAAGAAATAATATCACATCGAACTACTTGATAAGGGATGAAAATGACGCGAAAGGGTGTTTATGGATAAGAAGGAGACCCAAGACAAAGTTGAGAAAACTAACAGAAAATAGCAATTAAGTTATGGAGAAGACCACACCAAGAGAAAGATACAGGAGCTTGCAAAACGGAGAGGAAAACGTGCATACAATCATATATTATATACACAGCATTCAATATGTTTTGTTGGTATCAATGGGGAAATTCTGCAGACATTAAAGTCAGCGTCGCAACACTTACGGGGTTTGAAATTAATATAAATAATAAATTAAATGCATATCTTTAAAATACATTTTTTAAGTGTGCTGTAACATATTTTAACTTTACAGAATAATGTTTTATTGACTTGCATTTAAGTAGCAATCGTAAATTATAAATATTTTAATAAAATACAGAAATCGATTTTTTTTATACAAAAATTTAATTAAATGTATTTTCTCGATTTCAATTATTTAATACATTTCTCAAGTGTGATTATTAACGTTTTTCAGAATGATCAAGATGTGTATAAAATAAAAGTGAAGGTTGAAATGAGAGGAAATAAAAAAGATGTAAAAAGATTATATTTAAAAATTTAAAATATAAACGGAAATAACATATTCACTGATGTATTTATAATTTTCCAAAAAAATTTACGATTTTGAAATAAAAATGTTACCTCTAGCTGTTCTAATAAACTTAAACATTCACTACATACCTACTAAATAGCGTTTTAAACATTTAGCTACAAAACCAGCAATATAACTTTCTACATCTTTTGTAAAAGCTGTTAAATCTAAGTACTGAAAGAGCTGTAGATAAGTTTGATCTAAATAATTTAGTGTAGTTTAGAACTCGCTGAATTCTTCTAATTTTTCTTTAAGTTTGCTGGTTGTCACAGATGAAACAATTAAAATTGATGTATTATTTAAATCTAAAGTGTTTCCAAATTTGCTCCCTTTTATTTCTATGAGTTAGAAGTATATTGTATTATAGTAGCGCTGTTGTTTCTATCTTGTCCTCTTATCATAATTAATAATACTTCAATTTGGTCTTTTAAATTTAGTTCGCTAAATTTATACTTTACTTTAAATTCACGTTTATGACTATTATTTGTCTCAAATGTATTATTCGTGTTAATTGAAACAGACCAATGAAGAATGCTGTACATTATAAGATTTTCCCCCTTGTATCAAAAGAAAGTTCATTTGGATGCCGACTCTATGACGTAATATGCTCGAAGAATGTAATGGGGACTACGTCAAAAAATGACATACTTATTTTTGACGAAGCTTCGATAAATTTTAATGTTTAATTATAACTCTCCCTCATAGTTTAAGAAATTCATCATGAACATTACAACATTAACTTACCCAAAAGACTATCTGTCGAATTCTTCCTCTCACTACTATTAGGCGACTCCGCCTTCCTCGCTATCGTCAGTGTTATATGTCCCGGTACAGGACCCTCAGTATGTGGAATAGCATTCTTCAAAGTCTCCATAGCATCGCTATTGGTCTGTTGAAGCAAACTAATTCCGTTTACGTTCAATAACTGATCGTTAGTACGAAGTCTGTTGTCGCGCGAGGCCGCTCCTCCGTACATTACACCTTTGATGAAGATCCCCAGGTCTTTAGAGCCGCTGGTTTTGCCCTTAACGCTGATTCCGAGTCCCGCTTTTTCTGAATCGTGGACTGGAATGTTGAAGGTAAGAATTTCGCGATGCTTCCATGGGAACACCAGGGTTTCATCTATTTGTTCGGTGGGCTACAAAATAATAGAATGATTATTTTTAGATAAAAATATACGTAAAAGAGCAACTCTTAGAAAACGAAAGCTTTATTTGGGATTTTTGTTTCCATTTAAAAATATAGTAATTGACTTCATATCACTTAGTTTTATATTTGGATACATGAAACATGAGACCCATCACCTTAAAAAACTTTTCAAATTAAATGTTATAGAAATAGCAAAAACAGTAAATAAATCTGTAAGAAAAGTAGCAGAAGTGATAAAAAATGTCGACGAGGATACGGGTTATGGCACTGTCTAAAGTTTAAGAGATATTTTATGTCTGCGTTGAACATCTGCTACCAAATAGTCAAATATTGGAGATCGGAGTTTCTCGTCCCCTATCTTACCTAGTCTAATTATAAGATAATTATTTAAATTTATTATTTGACAACTATTCACTAGAGATTAATTTCCATATATCAATATCTGTACTGCACCAATACTTGTATGAAATAAGGAAGCTCCGCATATAACGTCTAACAACTGCCGGCGTAGTTGCATACCACAGCGGTTGGCCATACATCAACGTAAAGCAGTCAGCCTTGATTCATAGATGTTGGAACATCGGAAGGTTTGACAAAATTTCTTGAATGGGCTTAGCATGCTCACCAGCATCGATAATTAAACACATATTTAGATATCAAGGGAAACGCTTTAATTTGCATGTTACCATGACATATCAACAAACCTTGAAAACAATTTTTTTGTTTTAAGAAAATTCCGGATTTCAGGAATAAATTCCCGAATCTCTAAGGGTGAAAAATGTAGCGGAAATTCAATGTTCCATTATGTTTATAAAAATAGCTTTATAAAAAAAAAAACTCTGTCTTGCCTTTAATATTGATAAAAATCAATTCAAAAAACCCTTACCGCTATTTAATTAGTGAGTGTTTTTCTAAAAACTGAATTGTCTAATTACCCCAACATTATATAGTATATACTTTATAAATATATTAAATTAATAAACATTTTTAACCGACTTCAAAAAAGGAGGAGGTTCTCAATTCGTCGCGATATATATTTGAATCCTCAAACTCTTCATTTTTTAGGTATGTTTAGCGATAATGCTTTACCACCTTGTCCGATTTATATGATTCTTTTTTTATTAGTAAGGGGATATCTCAGGGGTGGTCCCATATAAATTTGGTTAAGATGTGGTAATGGCATCTGCACGTATTTGAAGTCGGTTTTTTTAAATTTTTAATTTCTAATACTTGTAAAAGGTTTTCTCCTCAAAATTTTTTCTCGTCACAAAATTCCCATATAAAACAAAAGTATCTCAATTGTTAGTAATAATATCTAAACTACTGGTATACTGAAAAGAGTTATTAGTATTTTCAAAAGTGCAAAGAAACTAGAGAAGCAAAAAAAAGTTTTCAGAAATAAAACAATATTTACATTGCCGGTAAAAACGTCCTGAAACTGCGATATTATTTTGGCGACTGAACCCTTTTCAGGAGTTCTATTTTGCAGCGCCTGTAGATGACTCTGCGGTAGAGGAGGAATGGTTGGAGGCACATCGTCAGTAGGTACCTCCTCTCTTACTTCTTTGAGGTCGACATCCTATACGAGAAACAATTACAATGCCAACGTGAGACACACTACAGTCAGCTAGTGCAAAAATGAACAAACAATTTTTTAAATTTTAATCAGAAATTTGAACGATTTTGTGGTAGAAAATTAAATATTGAATAATAATATTAACCATTGTTTATACAATCACTAAATTAATTTTATACTAAAAAACAGTATCAAATTTGAACCATTAGTTTTTATTAATGCAGCTGGCAAGTAAAAATCATGTAGATACAAAAATTTCAACAGAAGGTATATTATGTACCTTACAATGAATTGAACAAGGTATATTAGGAACATGCACGTAACAGACACGAGACCGCTGTTAGATAGTAACGACTTCCACCACTGCTTGCCCCACTACACACCCACAGACACAGGTTGATGCGCGACAAGCGACAGCGGTGTCTTTCTGTTCCTATTATACTTTGTTTATCCACGATATACCATCCGTTTTGAAATTACCATATATATCAGAAATATCACAATTCAATATTTGAAATTAATACTGTGCTTTGTTAAAAACTATTTCAATTTGTTACATGTTCTCTACATCTACAACATAAATCTATCATCAAAATTATCAAGGTTAATACCACAAGCGGTGAAAAAGTTCTTAAAATAAATTATCACTTCGCGTGGTATTTGGAAAGATTATTTAATAATATACATAATAATTTAACTTTAATTTTATTTGTTTACAAAATAAATAAATAATTTAAATTAATATCTGGATAACCAAAACCATTTTTTGTCATCTTTTTCCCAAACTTCACATTGACGGTTCGCAGGATTTAGTGAAAACACTGCATATTAGATTGTTGATGCATTATAGTGTTAAATAATGTCATTAATAATCAATAATTTCTACAGGCTGAGTCGAGAGGAACGTCACATCCTCTATTTGTATTATACATGTAAAAATAATTTAAAAAAAAACTCATATGTTCTTAGTGATTTTCATTTGTTTTCAATTTATATCTTATTTAATTTTTTTTGCTTTTTCTTACATAAGGCATGTTTAAAAAACAATTGATAACGTTGCAGTTTTGACAAGGTGTTAGTTGTTGCGGTGATTGAACGATTATTGTCTAGTTTGTACAATCAAATTGTTACAATTCACTTATTCACATTCAGAATATGCATCCTAGTATAAAACACGCATTTGTTTATTTGCTATTAGGCTATAACAAATGAAAATCGGATAAAAACATTGAATTTTTTTATATTATTTTCACCTTTATATTACACTCCTCGAGTTTGTGCCGTTCTTCCTAACTCATCCCATATATTCTACAAAAATAACTCCTGTTAATTTTGGAACACTGCTAGTATCATTTGTGGAAACCTGTAGAATGTTTTCATAACTTTTAAAATCTTTATTATAAAAATATGTTCAGAACTATCAAAAGTATATAATGAAATCAAGTCTAAATTAATAACAAATATTTAAACAAATATACACCGCAGAATTTAAAAACAATGTGAAGTCTATTAATAACACATATTATTTATGTTTTGGTAACTTACAAGTTTATTTAAATTATGATAGAATCATCTACGCAAAATAAATAAAAAAACATTGTTTGTCCATTTTTAATAAACCTGAGACTTCAAATGAATGATGTATAAGTTATACTCATTTGAAGTCTTCTGCACCTTAAGCTATACAAATTGAAATTTTTACAATATGCAATGCATTTACATAATACACTACAAACAAAAAGTAATGGCAGTGATTTTACAAAAGCAATGAGAAATGTCACACTGAAAATTATTCTTGGTTTACTTTTTTCTAGACTAAATCCTATTTCTCTTGAAGCATTAGCGGAATAAAAATATCTCGGGCACTTTTTACATTAAAACAATAGATTAATTGACAAAATGAATAGAAGCCACTCCTGAGGGTGCACAATAAGTTTAATAAGACAAAAATGCTTTAGAACTGAGTGAAAGTACTATGGATACCTTGGTAGAAGTAAATGCAGCTTATTGACACTGATTTTGAATATTTTATTTTGACTTTTTTGGCTATTTGCTAAATATTAAAAAAAAGCTTGAAAGAGCAAATGTATTTTAGAACTTAGGTAGGTACTTTAACATTGTATAAGTACAGCAAAAGGGGTACATTTTTAGTAAAATTGTAATTTCTTGCATCTGGAAATTTATTATTCAATAAACAAGCAATTTGTATACTGTAAAAATAAGTAAATGCGATGTTCCATCATTGCTATCATAAAAACTACTTTACACTAAAAAATAAAAATCTAGCAAAAACATCAAATAATGTACTTACGATTATTCGTGGAAGCGTGTTGTCTACAACGTCCTCTTGTCTAGATACTACTATTTTAACTTTACTACCTAACGGTAAGCTCTTAAGCAACGCTACTGCTTCACTTTGAGTTTTCCCGCTCATTTCTACATTGTTTACTTCTAATAGTCTGTCTCCTATTTTTAATCGTCCATCTTCTATAGCTGGACCCTAAAAAATGTGTAAAAACTTCGTTAGTAACATAATAGCTTAGAACTACATGAAAAAATATAATTTTATGTAAAAAATTCTGCAATCAAAATATATGGGGTATGTCACAAAATACTACCTTTATTTTTGACAATATTGAAAGTTGTAATAAAGGAAATTGATTAGAATTTAACGTGGCACTGAAAATGTATGTTTACAAATTGATATTTAATCTAACAATGAAATTTCTGCATTAAAAAAAAAATAATATTCCTAGCCAAAAATAATAACCATTTGCAAAATTTGGTAACAGTTTATAAAGAAGTTGTGTGAAATTATTACTAAAAAATCGAAAACATTTCAACTTTGACATTATATTTTTCTAATTTTAGAATTTCATTACACTATAGGCCATTACTTACGAACCACCAGTGGCGCATTTTTCATGGGAGGGGTTTTTGAAAACTATGGGGGGGGGTTCCATCAAGAAAGTGAATAAAAACAGTCAATAGCGATCAGCGCCAATACTATAGCGGAAATGGTGATGCAAGGACCCTCCATGGGGATTCCTGACCCCCGAAACCCCCCGTGGCTACGCCACTGCGAACCACTCTGCCGAACCAAATAACCTTTACAAAATGGTAACGCGATAATATATAAAAGTGGTTTGTGCCTAAGTAAAACATTAAAATTACCCGCCACTGGAAAAAATTCTAACCTTCAAAAATCTCACAACTTTGGAAGAATGGTAGATATCATTTCTAACATTATTTTTCTTCTATTGTTGGTGGATTCTAGATTTCGTTTTAGAGATATTATTATGGTTTTCCAAATTTAATTTGATTTAAAAAAAAATTATATGTGGTCTACAGTACAATTAAAAATGGCCACCCAGTACAAAGAGATTAAAAAATGGCCTACCCTGTACAGATAATAAGAAAACACATAACTTACCATGGCATTTATATTTTTAATGTAAATAGGGCACTTTCCACCAGCTGGGTTATCCCTCGTCGTAATACTAAACCCAAGTCCACTCTTGCCCTTAATTAAATCAATTTCTATTTTCCGTCCAATTTTTCTCGTATTCGCCGTCAACAGTCCTTTAAGATTTTTCGAAATGGCCGGTACCTTTTTCGTCGGCGACACCGTCGCCACTTTCGTATTTGTACTCTCTGGAAATATTCCTTTATCAAAAACATTAGCAAATCATTTTTATAACACATAAGTGGGGGTTTTGAATGGGTAAACTTAAAATAATAGATATGTGGTAAGAATAATAAGAGAGGACGATCAGAGCGAGCGAATAAATAATATAAGAGAGATAACGATTCACTTCAAATTAAAGAGTATTCATAGGCGTCTGCTAATTATTTAAGTAGTATGTTGTCCTAAGGTTGTTCTAATACAGATAGGCTTTATGACTGAACTAGTATTATTGATTTTCTGTCATTTTAATTGTTTAGTGCCAGACTTATTTATATTATTAAAATGAAAACATTTGATAGTAACCGAAGTAGAATTTATAGATTTCACATACATCTGGTTAGCAGGGGTGGCTCGTGACCAAAATTTTGGGGGTTCACAGTAGCAGAATATAGATCCCGGTACAGATATAGGTAAAAAACTGTCAGTGTTTTAGAAAGTAATATTATAAACTTTCTAAAACACTGAAAGTGTTTTTCATACATCTGTACTGATACCTATATTCTGTCACTGTGAACCCCCAAAATTTTGGCGACAAGCCGCCACTGCTGGTTAGATATATAACGCAAAACGTCTGGTAATCTTTCATTGACGTAGACTAGTGTAGTTTCAATTCTCTAAGAGATGATATTTCTATTTAACTTTTTATGGTTGTATATATGTCTGTTCAATTAGTGAATGTTCCTTTTCTAATCATTTTGGAAGCTTTTCTAATGCAGCAGAAGCAGTATTCATCATGAAATATACGTATATTATACTGATAAAGGCAACAACATAAACACTCCAATTCAAAGGGAAGACGAAGTCATGGAGATATTGTTGAGACAAGAATGTAGTGTCTCATGTTGATAATCTTTGGTAAAAGTACGATTTAAAGCAATGGTAAAGTGACAATTCAATAATAGTAATAATAAAAAGAAGATAATGCTGATTTTTAATATTATCGAAAGCAATATTTTCTCTTTTAATATTTTGTACAAATGTTTCTTACATTCTGGTCTTCATATTATGAATTTAATTGGTGATGTTTAAACCCAGCATAATAAATTGAAATGACATCAAAATCATAATAAAATCCGTTAAAAGCCATTTAAAAAAGTTAATTTATTTGACGCTTAGGAATAGCAGCAAAGTAGAATAAATATACATATATGTGGTTTGACAGTGGACAAGTATAGCTATCTAATGAAATTAGTACCATTCGTAAAAGTCATATTTAAAGATAAACTGAAACTTTTGAAAAATATGATTCTCAGCTGGAAGAAATTATTAAGTAAAGTGAAAATAAAAGGTCAATTGGCGCTTCCGTTCTAGAGTTATCGTGTCGGCGCATATCGTACGCTCAGACGACTAGACGAAATTTATAGTAGTTGAAAACATGGAGAAGCGTTCAAAAGTGGAGTAAGATAATTTTCTCGTCGACACGAATTCAATACTGTGGCCCCTTAGGTAGAGGGGCTCAGTAACACTGTTTACTTATGATTACCCATTCAAAACCCACTTAAATTCTACTTACGTTTTTGTTCGCACTCTACCATGGACACATTTTCTTTATCGTCGGGATATGTGGGGTAAATCGGAGGAGGTGGTTTTCGAAGACCCTCAAGGCCCGACGTTTTTATTACTTTCAGTCTTAATTCAGAAGCGGTGAGAGAGAGTTTGAACAACTCTTGAACCCTAAAAAGATGTAAAATACATAATAAACCATATACAATTATAATTTTGCGGCAGGAAATAATTTTAATAATTTTACGCTTTTGCTCAAAGTTCAGAGAAATCATGCAGGTATATGATAAAATTTATAAAGAATTACATCATAAACAATTATTATTTGAAGAATTTCCCTCTTCAATAATAAATATCAGAAATATACTTTAAAGTTCAAAAATTATCACCACTGTATGTTTCCACTGTACACAAAATGTAATCAACTCATCGCAGGATGTATTAAAGTTTAAATTTAAAATTTGGACAGACATCATTGCGAAACTAGTTAAAACGGATACCCCAAAACCTAAAGATATTTTCCTTGCTGGAAAGTAAAGATGTTTTGAAAATTTGTTGTCAAAAAGAGTTAAAATTGGCATATAACAATAATATGTTCCTATATTAACACCTTAAATCAAAAATTTAAACAAAAATCCAGTATTTAGATATTATTTTTCATTTGAATTAATATTAAAAAAAAGTTTCTTACCTTTGGAATGGCATATTGATTAAATTCTCCCCATTGATCTCCACAACCCTATCGTAAATGGCCAGCCTCCCATCCCTATCTATCCTTCCTCCAGGCTCTATCCCCTTTACCAGCAACCCCTTTTCCCTTCCCAAAGTGTCATAATCTGGTATGACGTGGATCCCCAAGGGTCCTGGTTCATTTCGTATCACAATAATTTCTTCTCCATCAATGGCGGGCGATATCGGAGTGGTCGAAACGTTCGCTTGGCCCAGTGGTTCTTTTCTACGACCTTCTCTTGGTAGGGAGGTGGTGAGATGATGGTTTCGCGTGGCCGATAGTCTTTCTGCAGCATCGGCCCAACGGTATCTGGAAAAAGAAAATCCACTCAGCAACTGACAATATACAGAAAAGCCAACGCTTTTCTCTAAAGGATAAAGAAATGCTACTTTTGGAGATACTGATAGTGAGGGGCTGCTTTCAATAATGCTCATACAGGATCTATAATTAATGCTCGAACAAAGAAAGAGAAGTTACTGATCCTGGGTCAGCGGATAAGATCTAGTTTAGAAGAAATTATAATAATCTAGAATCTAGATGAAGCAAAATTGATGAATAGCTAGTAGGAACGGGTATTTCCCTTCTCTGGCCAGTCTTAGTGGATAAACTTACAGAAAGGCTAATATGTACGAAATTTTGATGACACGAGGATACGACCGGTAAGAGGCAAATTCGCAAGTAGAATATCGGAGCATTCAAAACATCGTTGGTGGTTGCTGCAGGGAAGAAGAATTAACAGTAAACCTAACACTAGACAACCATGATGCCAAAAAGACATTGTTTCAATGAAGTTATAACGTTGATTGCGACCTAACTTTTTATCCAAAAATATGTCGTGAATCATAAAAAAGCCATAACTACTGAGAATTTATATCTAATGGTTCATGGTTAAATGAGTTATAACTTGTAACTTACCCAGCACCATCGGCTCCCAAAAACTGCATAGACAGCCTATTACTCCCATCTCTGGCTATCCTCCGGAACCCAGGTTCTTCTTCTTCCTCTCTGGAATCGTCCATCCAATCGGGACTGGCGTACCCTGAACTGGGCGGTTCCAAAATTAAGGGGGCGGCACTCCATCGCTTCGGATGATCGGAAGGGGCGGGCGGACCTGTGGGAAGTTGGTTCAAACTCGGTTCGCTCCCTCGCCTGACTTGCAAAACTGGTACTCCCGATGCTATTTGTTCTCCGGTCACCTCGATGTCAGTTCTGGGGTAATTTGGGCCGTATTTATGTTCTCCGTCCTGAAAACCAATTCATGACATTTGTGAGTAAAATTCGGTGGTAAAGCATTATTTTCATATGTTAAAATAATAATATCTTTATACGAGTGTACAGATATTATAGGTAATTATGATGGTTAGCAATTACCATTGGTAATTGACCGGCTGAATGTAGGATTTTTTTGAAATGAAAATGAGATAAGCTGTGATAAATGTTGTTATGAAATAGACGCATCTTGTAATATCCATTATTTTAAAGCCGCTTGTATAATGATTCTATTGATACCTATTGTAAAAAAAGTGACTGCCATTAAAATAAGACAGTAGGTGTTTCTTAATATGAGTTCGCCATATATGGGATTAGTAGGTGCTATACATCTTTATTAGTGTGTTTCTTCAGTAGAAGATTAGGTGTTAGAATTTCAGGAGTAATCAGAAAGAAAATAATAACCAGTTTTCAACAAGAGAATCTGTAAAGCATAAAAAACTTGAATTTATTGTATAATTACAGCTCCATTAAAAAAATGATGTGATAAGTAGAGGTTAAAACTGGTTAAGTATATCGGATGCAAGTAGGGTACTTTTAAGATGTTATTTTTCATTATAAATATAATCAGTAAAACCGCTATAGATATTAACATTATTAAAAAAAAAAACATAGGTATCTGTGTTTACGTTAAGACGTATAATTTTTATTGGATGTGTGGTAATCGGAGTAATAATATCGATAAGATCGGAATGTTTATATGTAATACCCCACGTACCAATTCAACGGTAAAAGATTATTATTATTCTGTAATGGTAGTCGTCTACCTGCTTCCTGTTTCAAGGTATTGTTATTACAAAATATAAATAAATAAGCAAGTGTACTGTTAACAAAATAATATTGACGAGATATTGGTACATCTTTTTAACAAAATAAGATTAATTTTATGCCTCTAAAACGAAATAAGAAGTGAAAATATTAGAGATAACCTAAAAATATGTATAATAGATTACTTAATTATTACTGATAGAAGATAGTTAAAAAAAAAGATAGAAGTTCGATTATATTGTAAAACAACAACTGCATTTTTTCCAAAGATTTCTATACATGGTGTCCCATTAGTGCGTAATTGCTCGACATTTCAATTTATAGATACGCAAACAAGTTTCAAATAAAAGTTTCACGAATTTTAAAAAGATATATTTTAAAAATATTTTTTAATATACAGGGTGTTACGTTTTTACCTGGCAAATAAAAATTGAAATATTTTTTAAATAGAACACCCCGTATTTTATTTTAATTTTAGAATGGTCTGATACTACTGTATTTAACCGTAGAATGTTTTTAAAAAATATTGCAGAGATGCCAAGTAATTATTTTTTTTGAGAAATTATGAAAATGATGATGCAATTATTTCAAAATTGTTTAAAATATATATATAAAATACCAAGCTAACGAATAGTGGTGATAGAACTGGTTTATTTTATACAGAGTGTCTTGAACCATGTCTTAAATATGGCTAATTTTAAGTTCAATGTACTTAATATTTTCAAATAAAACACTCTGTTTATTATTTTAACATAAAATTCCTTATAAATTTACCTATCCAACGATAGCAACAGGGTATCCCATCAATCTGTAATTGATCGATAGCCGTTTTATTATGGGAAATACAAAAAAAAAATAATATAAAAGTTGTATGATCATATTTCTTAAATATATAGGGTGTTTCATAAACGAGGGACTGACCTAACTTATACTTTTAAAGCAAAAAACCATGGAGGTAGTTACACATTTGATTGTTTTCACATCGTCAAACAATTTTAATAGACTTCATTAATTTGCTATATTGTATACAGGGTGTGTTAAAAAGTTACGATTTTTTAAATATCCTGTGTGTTATACCAACAATTAATTAATTTCTTTAATTTTAACTTTTTTTGCATTCCTTATACCAAAACACATGTTTGGGACGTCGGGAGAACAGAAAATCATTTATTATTTAACAAAAATGGGTTAACAAAAATTTTAGACGTTTGTTCTTTTGTTTTTAATTGTTATAAAGTTTTATCTGATTCAATCTATATGATGATAATAAGAACAAAAACTTTTTTTTATTTTCAGAAGAATTAAGTTGAAAATAGGATTGTTTTATTTGAAAAAATACAAAAATCAATTAGATTTACCTATTTGTAGTTTTTTAACTGACCAAGATCTCTAAAGCCAATAATAATTAGAAAAATGATCAAATAATAATAATAATAAAAGCTCTTTATTGGTTATGAATACAATTTGTATGGTGTGTATGAGGATTTACAAGCTATATGTGTAAGATGAAAACAAATATTAAAATACTTAAAAAAAAAAACAACAATATGTGTCACTATTTATTGTTCATCGGCAAATTCGTTTAAGATTTCTGTTATTGATCTCACTGGGTATTTAAACTTTGCTTGACCAATTTGTCGTTGCATCGAAAAAATGTTTATTAGCATGTGATTGTTTCGTTTCTTCGAGAATTTTTTTGACAGTTTTCTAATTCTTTCCAGGATAGGCTGAATCTTAGTTTTTTCGTAAAGATATTCATTCGCTGGATGGTGAGTGGGGTTTTCAGGATGTCGCATCTTGGTAATGATTCTTAGTGTAGAAGTTTCGGCCACTTGAATGTTTTTTTAATGCAGGTTTTCGGCAGTTTAAATATATAGTGTAACCGTATTCCAGGAGAGGTCTGCAAATTGTTTTGTAGATTTTAGTGGCCGTGTATAAGACCATCAGGCACATTAAGAAGTTTTAGTTTAAATAGGAGGCCGTTGTGCCAGACACAGTTAAAGGCTTTTTTAATGTCCAATAGGAGAATAAGTTTTTCGAATAGTTTTCCCAAAACTGGAAGAAGGGTGATTGGTCTGTAATTATTAATTCTTTCGTGGTCTGTGCCTGGTTTTGCGATAACTATAATGGTGCCTCTTTCCATTGATCTGGAAAGTACGAGAGTTTTTGTAACAGAATACAAACATTTTTTAAATATAGATATGTATATTATATTCTAGTTTTTTCACAATTTGCCATGGGGTCATGTCTGATCCTGGAACGGAGTTTTTCTGATTGGATAGTATTTGAAAGTATTGATGATCATTTTTATAATAAACCCTTTAAAATTTTGAGGAAAAATGCGTTTGGATATAGGCAGTGCCAAGCAAAATAATAAATAAAAAAAATTATTCATAAATTGGTGGTATAACATACATGGTATTGCATTTGAAAAATCGTAATCTCGCATTTAGGCACACCCTGTATACGTAATGAATGAATGAAAATAGAAAACCTTTTAGGAATTTTAAGCCTAAAAATTGTTTCCCGATGTGAAAACAACCAATTATGTTAACCAGATTGTTTAGTCTAAAAAATTATAAGTTTGGTTCGCCCCCCTACCCCCATTTATGGACTACCCTGTATATTTAAGAATAACTGTAAAATATCATCCTACATTTTTTGTATTAAAAATAAAACAGCTATCGATCATATATGCACTGATGGAACACCTTGTATATGTTTAATTCGCTAATCTGTTGAACTTAAAATTAGCCATATTTAGGACATGTTTCAAGACCCTCTGTATAAAATAAACAAGATATATCACCACTATTTGTTAGCTTGGTATCTTATAAGTCTGTATTTAAAACAATTTTGAAATAATTGCTAACCTACCTAAATTATGATAATATAATTTGGAGTCTGGATTCTGAAATTTCACAAAATAATTAATTGATTGGCAAATCTGTATTTTTTTTTTTTTAATATTTTAGAGTTGAATACAGTATTACTGTACCATTTTAAAACTGAAATAAAATACAGGATATTCCATTTAAAAAAATTACATTTTTATTTCTCAGGCAAAAGCGTCCTGTATATCCAAAAATATTTTTAAAATATGTCTTTTTAAAATTCATGTAACTCTTATTTGAAACTTGTTTGTGTGTAACACAAAATGATTTATCGAGCAATTGCGCACTTAATGGGACACCCTGTATATCAGCTACCACAACATGGTCATCTGCAAAGTATAGACTAAAAAGTATGCCACTCTAAGCGCCTTCCTTGTTATTTACATTTTATAGTCTCTCTTTATTTATTTCCTTTACAATGTATTGTAATTGTGTAGAAATATTTTTTGACATGAAAAACATAAAAGTATACCGTTTACACTAAAGCATGAAAGTCCGAATTATTTACCCACATATATTCTTCGGCGAATTTTTATACGTAGTTACAGTTTAAATGTTGCTTATATATTTAAATGGCAAAGCTAACTGGTATGAGTCAAACTATATGGGATGTCCCAACTTTTAGTTTACTGGCTCTAACTACTCACCCTGTATATTTAGCAGAAAAGGTTTCAAATAAAAGTAGCTTGAATTTATTAAGTCTACAAAGCAGCGTACTTTAATTACGACTTACTCGTGACCTTCAAGGTCATTTGAAGGTCAACTTAAATGCACCATGTTTATTAGGAAAGAAATAATTTTTGGATAATCTATTTTTTCACTTGTATCTAAAAGATACACTTAGGGCTTGTTAGTAAGTTTTTTAAATTTGTACAATGTCTTATATGAAAAACGTTTGACCAAAACGATTTCCACTGATATATTTATTCATGCTTACTTTTTTAGTTCCTAGAGCATTCCTGGAATACTTGGTTATAGACTTATTAATCTTTATAAAAATAATAGGATGACCTGGTAATAAATAACAAAAATATATTGTTCAGATGATGATTTAATATTTGCTACTTTGGCAAGTACCGTTGCGAAATTTATACGGTAAATCATATAACAATTGTGCAATTTTCGCGGTATATTAAAACAACAATGAAGGAAAAAAGCAGAAAAATCATGACTAAATAGATAAATGCGATTCATTGGACGTATAAAAATAAAGGAAACTTTTAACTTTGTGGTTAAATGTAAAGTGATTTATTTCAAGTTTATTCATAATTATCATTTCTTGGAAATAGATCATGGTAAAAGAAAAACATTGCTGTGCTGACTTATTTCAAAACAAAAACGATATTTTATAGAATAATTGATTTAGTGTTATTAGAGCAAAGATTAAAGAAAGTATAAAGTGTTGTTTAAAATAGTAGCATAGCAATTCTGGTGAGGGCACCGGTTTAGCATACTCTGGTGGAGGTGCCGATTCTTAGTCTAAGGCCGTCTGGAACATTCGACAGCACCTATAATCTATACAGTGTGTTCCATAATGATATGCGAATATTTAAGGATATGAATCTACATGAAAAATTAATGATACATTATAAACTATGTTCCAAAAATGTTCCGTTACGAAAATAAAGGGTGCTAAAGTTTTGGAAAAAAAAAACAACGGAAAATTAATATTTTCGTAACCTCCTGAGATATTTCAGTGATATTTAATATTAAGTGACAGTTATTAATGGAGCATATTTTTAACACAAAAGTAATTTTCAGCTTTAATAGTAGCGTGCGTACCAGCACTAGCCTCAATATTTTTAAGGAAAAAAATGGTACGCCAATGGTTTTTTTTCCAAATAAATATTATTTAATTTAAAACTTACAGAAACTCTTGATTTTATTTTCCTGCGTGGATTTATGTAGATTTACACCCCTTAAATATTCGCATATCATTAAGAAATAATACCCTGTATAAATAGCATATGTTTGACATTAAATTAAGATCAAGTCAAAATATCGTTCTCTTCAAATAAAATAAATATTGTCAATGTAAATTACAGTATCAGTTAGAGATATAAATTAGTGTTATATTTAGTACAAATAAATTAGTTGTGTTGGTGAAAATAAGCTATACAAATTGTTTGTGCAACAAGTGTGCAACGCGTTTAATTTGCGGCACTCGCTCAACGGATCGTGTCACAAACTTCTGCGCACGTATGAAATGTGCTTTACGCACATCTTGCACACTAATTTTTTTCTACTACCACGTTTTTTAAAATTTCTACAAAGTCAATGATAATATAACAACGTACCTAACATAACATAGATTATCCATTACATTATTTCTATATAACTTTTTAAATTTAACTTATTTAAATCGGTAATTAACAAACTACTCTTGTGCCGCTTCTCGAGCCTTTTCTGCGATATCTGAAGCTTATTTTCCATTTAAAAGCGTAATAATATGTTCATTTTTGGGTATATGGAACAAATAGACATATTAATGAAACAAAAATTATTGTAAATAATATTATACTATATACTGATACTGTATATATAGTATATACAGTATCGGCTATCGAACGCTTTCTAATACGGTTTGCACAAGTGCGTGTGAAAACTACAGAGAGTTAGCATTAGAGTGAACAGGAAACGAATATCAGCGATGAGGGTTTACACGGCCCAGCCAACGTTACAATACGGTCGGGACTAGGGCTGGGCGATTATCAAAATAATATCATTATTTTCCATCGAGCGATTAATCGAAAATAATCGATTAATCGAAAATAGTCAGTTAATCGAAAATAGTCGAAAACAATCGATTAATTGAAAATAATCGACTAATTAAAAATAATCGATTAATCGAAAATATTTAATTAATCGAAAATAATCAAATAATCGAAAATAATAGAAAATATGTGATGGTTGAAAATAATCGATTAATCGAAAATATTTGAATAATCGAAAGTAATCGATTAATCAAAAATAATCGATACATTAAAAACAATCGATAAATTATAAATAATCGATAAATTAAAAATAATTGATTAATCGAAAATAATCGATTAATATACAATAAACTATTACTCGAAAGTGATCGATTAATCTATAATAATAGATTAATCGAAAATAATCGATTAATTGAAAATAATCGATTATTCGAAAATAATTGATTATTGATTAAAAAATATAATAATCGACTAATTTTTGCCCACTTCTAGTCGGAACGTATAAACTGGCAACGCTGATATTATTCGTTTCTTGTTTGCACTAATGCTAACTTTCTGTAGTTTTGACATGCATTTGTCCAAAACGTATACGAAAACGTTCAGTGGCCGACAAAGTATATGACAAATAATGTAAAATTTCAAATGTCTATTTAAATTTCAAATGTTTTGTCGCTACACGAAAGTAGTTATTTTGCGCACGTAAGTGTATCACTTTTTCATTGTATTGCAAGAAATTGTCAACTTTGCGAATGATAATTCAAAAACATGTTTTGAATAGTGGTCGTAGAAAAAATAATATTTTTGAAGAATAATTTTGTGTTATGGACATTTATAATATCCGTGAGTCCAGGGTTCGATTATGATCAACCGAAATGTATTCTTAATATGTATGATTCAAATCATTACTCCGCTTGTTTTGTTACACACTTTTTTAACCTTGAAATTATCGACAAAAATCATTCATTATATCTTATTCAATAGAAATGATTGACTTACATGAAAAATATCCGGACTTCCGGTTCCAACAGAGCTTCCGCTCGCTCCGTCACCTCCACCATGAACATGGGCGCCTTCACCGTCTTCGAAACTAGCTAGGATTTGTTCTCGATCGTCAGCAACGTCGTTAAGTTTGTCGTCGGGATCTAAGATTCCCCCTCCTTGTGATTGCAAGTTATGGACCGACACCCACGAATCTGCACCCTGTAACAAAACGAAAACTTATTATTTATGTAACTTTTCAAGTATAATAAAAGTTTGAAAGAAAATGATCGAATGTTTAAAAATAATGGAAGAAAGCTTGTTAAACCTCTCAATAACATGATCCCATAATTTTATTAGTGTGTAATTTAAAGTTGTAACGGTTGGAACCGTTATTTCGTTATTTTGGACACAATCACCTGTTACTCAAATGTCATTTGTCGTCTATGCTTTGTGTCAGAGGAAGTGATATTTTGATTTCAAAGACACTGACGAATAGGGCACTTATATTTTGATTAATCTCGGTCATCCGAAATATTAAATTATATTTATTTATGTTAATGACCGTCTGATTTTACGTGGCGTGTCGTCAAGACCACACTTCTCGACGACACTTTGGATCTGTCTCCGGGCAAAGCGTTTGCTGCGTGTCGCACTCGAGGTCACTGTCCTCAGACATCGCTTGTATTTGGAGGTGATTAAGTTGGAAATTTTGTTCGATCTAGGCAGTGTTGCCAGATGCTGGAACAGTATGAGTGAAAACAAAAACCGTAGATCTGAACAGTAGATTTTAATACAGGGGGAAATAATTATAATTTGCAGTGTAGTAAATAAAAAAAAAACAAGTATAAAAGAAACGAAAAATAAACATTTTTCTACCCAAATCAGAAAGTAAACAAAGAATAAAAACAAATAATAACATTTTTAATATATACTTAACGTACAGAAACAAAAACAAACAATGAAAAATAATAGGTACCTACTTCTTTTAGATCAGTCTGAATCAGATAATTCAAAATAGTTGTGTTTGGCATGCATGTTCTTTTTATGATGCCCTATTAATTCTTTGTTTCATTTTAAATAAAAACATAATGATTATCTTGATGATTTTTATGGAGGTAACCTATAGTAGTGGATGCTTATTACGCTTCTTTTACTTCAGCAAATTTACTAGAGAAAATATTCTTTGACCATTTGCTGAAGAATGAGGCAAACTTAATAAATTAAGAACAAAATTTGCTGGAGACAAAAACAGTGCATCTACTTAAAAACAGTAGGTATGGCAACGCTGATCGTTCCCTCGAATGGTTATCTGCGGGTGTCGTGCCACCCGTCTCCTGGCTTCCCAAATGTACGAAGCGTAACATTTATGCATCCGTCGTCCTTGGGGTCGTCTCGGTGGTCTCCTGACGCGCCTACCGAAATGGTACCTTTAAGATACCATTTCGGAAGGCGCAACACACGACAACAGAAGGGACAGTAAAGGAGACGGATACATTTACGTTACGCTTCACGCATTTGGGAAGCAAGGAGACAGGCGACACGACAACCGCAGACAACCATTCGAGGGAACGATCAGTGTTGCCAGACCTACTATTTTAAAGAAGATCCACTGTTTTTGTCTCTGTTCTCCTGTTTCGGGCATGAAATCTACTGTTTTCGCCAACTTAACAAATTTTGTTCTTAATTTATTATAAAAAAAACCTCAAGATAATCATTATGTTTTTAATTAAAATAGAACAAAGAATTAATAGTGCATCATAAAAAGAACATGCATGCCAAACACAACGTATTTGAATTGTCTGATTCAGACTAATCTAAAAGAATTATCTATTTATTTTTCATTGGTTTTTTTTCCGTTTCCGGACATTAAGTATGTATTAAAAATTTAATTATTTGTTTACTTTCTAATTTGGGTAGAAAAATGATTATTTTTCGTTTCTTATGTGCTTTTTTTTTATTAACTACACTGCAAATTATAATTGTTTCCCCCTGTATTAAAATCTACTGTTCAGATCTACGGTTTTTTTTCACCCACACTGTTCCAGCAAATTTTCATCTGGCAACACTGCCCAGGATAGAACTTCGCAACTACCATTTCTATAAAATATTTACTAATCACCTCGAAATACAAGCGATGACTAAGCGAGACAGGCAGAAAACACTACCCCGAGACCGATCTATTTGTCGTCGGACTGATCGCGTCTTCTGAAATGTGGTCTCCTTTGCCGTCGCGTCTGCTATCGTCTGTCGCGCGTTCCGAAATGGTACCTTTAGGGTTGAAATTAGTTCTGATTTCGTATAGTACTTTTTGTCGTCTCTGGTAGAGCTTAATTTTGATGATACATTTTTGTAAAATTCAGAATTGAATTCAAATAGAAACGGTACTTAGAGCGGTACTAATGGCAGATATGACAGGCGCCTTTAACTAATATGTTAAGGAAGAATATTGGGAACGACAACCTGCCAATTAAAGAAACAATAAAAGCAAAAAGTATAGAAAAGTTAAGTAAGTATAATTTTATGATATCCCGAACTTCTGTTAAACCCTGTATATCGTTGATTTAATAAGCCCGGTACTGTATACAATTAATCAGTTATGTAAATATGCAGCATTGTGTGCGAGCGGCAGCAAAATGTGCAAATTGTGCAGCGAGCATAACAATTCCAACCTGTCCGCGTTATTAGGAGATTCTTACTTGAAAAACTGGTATATATAATATATAAAGCGATCTAAAAAAAGGTTTGAATTCAAGGACATATTTAGCAGACCAGAAAAGATTTCATGGCGTATTAACGCTGTTTTTACTATTTTCCACTTGAGGAAAAAACAAATTTAGATAAAAAACCGATATATCCTGATTAAGTGGATTAATTAATGTAAATAAAAGGTTAATAACTTTTTTTTTAATTACACAACACAAGATGAATCTAAATATTTGGTTAATTTTGGATTATAGAACATCAGAAAACGATACTTTATGTTACAAAGACGAAAAATTGAGTTTTTCTGGCAACTACGAGTTTGCCAAACGTGACGTATTAGAGCCATAGGCGTATCGAAAGGGGGGGATTTCGGAGGTTTACTCACTTCGAGTAAGAGGCCCAAATAAGGCATACAGGGACTTAAGGGATTTGAGTAAAACCGGATTGGTCGAAAATGGCCCACACAGCACAGCACTTAATTTTTTCTCAGGAATATTTATAATTTCTCATATTCTTCTTTCATGCTCATCGAATAACCAATGTGTATTGAACCACATTTGTTACCGTTGTGTAGAAGGATACATTTCAAACTACGTTTTGAACTGTCAATAAAAAGGCGCCATTCGTCTGTTGTATATTCTAATAAACCCCTTTTTTCTAAGATCCTCTTATATCGTTAATTTTCCTAAGGGAAAAAGGGTACTAGATTATTATCTCTTTTACGATAAAATAAAATATTAGTACCTGCATAAAGTAAATTCTTTTCATATAATCTAAAGGCAAGTAATTCGGAAGAATTCTTTAAGAAGTTTAGATATCTTCGAAAAAAGGGCAGGTATTTTTGGAATCAGCATCATCAAAAATATCCTAAATCAGTTGTTATTCTTCCGGTACCAAGAAAATGATGTAATTTTTTTAGGTTGTGTTATTTAACATGCGTTATATTTCGCGGTAAAAAAATTGTAACGAAATCCTAACAATATAATTCTAACGCAAACAAGAGTAGTTAACATGTTCGAAGTGAAACCAAGCCGGTGTATGGAAGACAAAGCGGTTTCTTAATTACATTAAACAACAGCGTAGACAATAATCAGCTTTTAAACAATTACGGCTACCTTTCGTTTCCTTTCCTTTCTCATACAATGTCAATAATGAAAGTGACCAATTTCACTCGCTCACCAACTTTACCGGCGTATTAAAATGCACCGAGAAATATATTAGTTATACAATAAAATTATCAATAACCAGGGACGCTTTTAGAAGAAATAAACAAAATATAAATAAAAAATATAAAATATAAATAAACATAAAATAAATATGAATTCGAGAGACGCTAAAATGGTGGTTCCCACCTTATCGAGACTGAGGCCCACAAAGATAAACTCGTAGCGTAACAAAAACGAGAAATGATTTAACTTGGAACGAAAGACCGAAAGCCGATAGTAGTATTAGGACGTTGAATTTTTTGGTTTGTGAAGCATTGGCATTACTTAGGTTAAACCATAAGCCTTGATTTTTAAAACCATTCTATATCGCCTTTTGATTAGGGTTTACAAACTTGTTTGAGCAATTTATCCAATAATAATTGGCCCCTTTACCTCTTAAGCCTGCTCATGTAAAATAATTGGGTCCTTACTTCGCTTATTTATATAATATTAATAAAGGACAGAAGGATGAGTATTGCAACTATGTTAAAAGAAATAAATTGGCTTTCAGTTCAAAATTATGTTCAGTACATGACTGATATTTATTTATAAAATAAAAATGACAGTACCATCGCATCAGATCTATTAGAAAAAATTCAATATAATTCACAATATCACAACTATAATACAAGAAGCCACTCTGACTTTCATGTACGGCAAGCCATCACTAAAAGTTCCCAAAATACAATTTTTATTAGAGGTTTAAAAAATTTAATAGACTGCCTACAGAAATAAAAAAAAAAAACAATGTATTCAAAAGTAACCTCAAACAATATTAGATAAATAAACAGAACGGATATACTTTCTTGTGATAATATTCTTTAAACCTGCCCTTTTTAAGTATTTCTCTTAATTTATTGTTATTTTACCCCTCGTTTTACCCGAATTTATTATAAATTATTTCTATTTTGAGATTATGTACTTTATTTTAAAAAATTACTTGATGTTATATTAATACTACTTACTATGTTTAAATTATTAATAGTTTTGCGACGATAGGTTATAGCAACTTATAGCCACCAAATTATTTTTGTGTTAAAGTAGATCCATAGAGAGCAATGTAATTTACAAAGGCCTTCTTTCAACATACAAATAAATGACAACTTTATAATTAAAATAAAAAACACAACAAAATACCTCGGTGCCAAGGTAAGAAGATTCATTTTTAAATTTTATTTATTGAGAAAATTTATGACTAGAAGTTTACTAATTATTATTTACATTTCGCTGGTTGAATATGTAATCCAAAATCATATAATAAAAATGTTCTACAAAAAACCAGTATTATATCCTACCTCTCTTTTATATAAT